AGTACTACTTCACTATCCCCCTGGAGGAGAGAGGCTTTCCTCCTCCCTCAGCAACAGCCCAGCCAGTGAGAGACACTCCTAACTCAGCCAGTGGAAAGCCACTATATTTTAAATTACCAGTTTACCTCAATGGGCTTTTTGTTTACAACAGCCCTTCCAGCTTCTTCCTTCCCTTTGTTCTGCAGTCTTGTCCTTGATAGCAATTCCCTGCCATTCCGAAATAAAACCACCTTTTGCTGGTAAAATAATTGGCAGTTTTCTTTTTAAAGGTAACAAGGGCATGTGGTAGGTAACTAATGCTGGATGTCAACAAGAAGAACTGGAAGAGGGAGCCCTGTGGTGCCTCTGAGTGAGCAGCAGGACCTCTGGGTTGTCTTTTTCTAACTGGATGTAAGTGGCCATCCTTTCCTTCACCTTGGCACTTTTTTTTTTTTAAGATTTTATTTATTTATTCATGAGAGACACACAGAGAAAGGCAGAGAGAGAGAGAGAGAGAGAGAGAGAGAGTGAGCGAGCCAGAGACATAGGCAGAGGAAGAAGCAGGCTACCAGTGGGGAGCCTGATGTGGGACTAGATCCCAGGACCCCAGGACCCAGGATCATGCCCGAAACCAAAGGCAGATAGATGCTCAACCACTGAGCCACCCAGGCGTCCCCACCTTGGCACTTTTGCCCTTGAAGCACAGTTTGATTTGTATCCATAGAGCTACTTTACAAATAATTACACACACTGCTATATATGTAGTCACTGTACATCCCCTTTTCTGTTAAAATGGAAACTTCTTACAATAGAACTTTTAAAATAGGAATATAACACAGAGGATTTTTATGTTTTTTTAAGTAGGCTCCCAATGTGGGGCTTGAACTCACGACCTGGATATCAAGACCTGACCTGAGATCAAGAGTTGAACATTTCACTAACTGAGTCACCCTGGCACCCCTGCTTTCTTTTTTAAACAGATTAGACAGGGCAGTTTTATTAGTCTGGTTACCTCATAGCTGGGAGTCTTATATTCTTTATACCAATTATACTGAAATGAAAATCAGCGTTCTGATACTTCATATACTTTTTAATGGTCTTGTCATGGTTGAAGCAAATACTACCAAGGCTAGAGTCATAAGCAAACATCCCATTTCTGCTCAGCCTTTGATGGGTCTCATCCTGAAGATACAGTGGAAGCGAGAGGCGGGAGCTGCAGGGTGAGCCAGTCATGGTGGGGAAGAGGCAGGTCAGCACCCAGGGATGGATGCCCAGTCTGGTAGAGAAGTCCTAAGGTAAGTTTCAGGTGTTGTTCTGACCTTCCTCAGGGGGCTCATGGTCTTACCACACATGAGGAAGAGCTAATTCTAGGTGAAATCTGAGCCAGCTAAGTTTGAAATGTGAGAAAATCACAATCCTCTCAAAGTGTGGTGAGCAGCAGCAGCACCTGGGAATGAATTACAGATGCACATTCTCACTCCCCACCTGGACCTTTTGAATCAGAAATGCTGCAGACCTGGCCCAGCAACCCTCCGGAAGCTTCTGATGCACACTGGAGGTTGAGACCACTGCTCTGTTTCTGTCACCACCTATGCAGAGAGGATGCCAAACAGGCCCAAGTACTATTTAACTTTCTTAAACCAAATCGATGCAATAGACCTCTGGTTTCCAAGCCAGTTTGACAGGATTTGAATTTCTCGGGGGTCAGAGGAAAGGACTGATCTATATTTTTAACATCTATATTTTAGCATCCCAGGTAATTCTTTTTCTGAGGGAGGTTTGGAAGCCCTTAGTATATAACTGACGTCACTGTACTAATCTGATAGTCAGCTGCTGGGATGAAAGGCTTCCTGCAAGCTTAGCATTCAGGAAAGGGAAGAGAACTAACATTTACCGAACAAGGACTGTGGGCCAGCCACTGTTCCAGACATTTAGCATACATTACTTCCTATTGATGTTTATAACAACCCTATGAGGTAAAGCTGTGCTTAGAATATCTGAGTGTTTACCCTATGTTACTCAGTAAGAAGCAGGGCTGGGTTTCAACCCCAAGGTGGCTCTATTACCTCTAATACCCTTCTGTGTGTGTGTCCACCAGCGTGGCCAGCTCCATTTCTCTCTGATATGTCAAAGGCTTGCAGGACCTTCTTTCTCTCTTCATTTTTCCCTTTTAATGAAATAGAATCTTCTGTTCCACAAATAGTTATGGGGTCCCTACTGTGTTCAAGGTACTTTTTGTTGTACACAAGCATATACAGTGTTTAAATGCAACTCAAGAAGCTCTCAGACAACAGAAGGTACTTGAAAGGCCGTAAACTTGGTAGCTGGGAATGTAGGGTCAGGGTGACCTCGGGATTGAGTGCTAGTCCTACCCCTTAGTAGCTGTGTGAAGTTGGCAGTTGGGTGTTATTTTTTTAACTTGAGTCTTAGTTTCTTCATTTGTGCAAAAAGGCTATAGCAGTGCTTCTCTCAGAGTGGGCAAACCCTTGATAAAGGGACTGGCACAGGTTGAGGGCCCAGTAAATGACTCAATCTGTTATTGTCTTTAGTTTATTATTGTTGCCAGCTGTAATAGATACCCCAGTAATTACTTGATGCCCTAGTAAATTGGCTGCCACACTTCATAGAGTGTATTGATATTTGTATTTATAAAGTGACAATAGTTTGGTTAAATACTGCTAAATGTCAGTACTGCTACATGTCAAGTTCCTGTAATCGTTCCCTAGCCCCCCCCAATCACCCCTACCTGCAGAACCCCAATCCTCCTCTTCCCAAACCCTTACTCTCCTTCCTCTTTTGGGAAAAAATTTTTTGCTAAGGTACTGAGTACATTAGAGGAGATGTGGAAAATGAAAGAAAATTAGCCTGTTCTTACTCATGTGACCACTCCAGCCTGGTGGTACTCTTTGGACATCTTTCCATTTATATGTTGCCTTACAAACATCTTTTCTCATATGTAATGCTTGGTATATGGTTCACATTGGTCTCCATTTAGTAAAGGTTGCTAAAGCCCCAGGGGACCAATGTGCATAATTGCAAAGATTTGAATGGCTTTTGATTAGAGGGGCAACTTAGACCCTCCGGAGGGATCTTGGTGGAGAAGGTTGTTGGTTACCTCTTCCCAGTGCAGCAATCCTTGCACTCACAGGCCTGGATAGTTCTAGAACAGTCTTATAGCAAAGGTTATTTATATGTTCCTGTGGGTCTTTTTTTTGGCCAGGAAAACCAGGGACCATAAATATAATAATACAAGCCCATAGGTTTAGGGTCCCATGGAAGGTTTTAGAAGGAGAAAAACTGTAAGTGACAAAAGTAGACTTGGTCATCTATGGGTTCACTTAAGAAACAATAATGTAACACTAATGAACATTTCATAATTTTATATGAAAATTTTAAGCTGTATCTGTTCGTGTGAATTGTTAAGATAAACTGATATAAAAAGAAAAAAAAAACACAGGTGACTCTTGCAGGTCTGCACAAATAGCCTAGCCTGGTCATCCATGTGAGCTGTTTCATTTCTTGCTGGCTTACACTATTTATTTCGAAGATAAGATTGAAGGAGAAGGGACACAAAGTTAAGGCAGTAGTGGAGTATAAACAATTTGACAGTATTAATCAAAAGCCATAAAAATGTCCATACTCTACTATAAAATTTCAATTTGAGAGTTAACCTAAGAAGTTAATTTAGAATGTGGGAAAAAAAAAGCCACATACACATATTTCATTGCTTTGTCATTGGTAGGGGTCAAAATTTGGAAGCAATCTTGATGCCCTGTAATAAGGATCAATGTTTAAATTTCTATTCAACAAAACATTGTGTACCTTTAAAAATAATGATTATGAAGATTATGTGGTAACATAGAAAATACTTAAAATGTCATGCCTTGAGGGAAATGAGTTGGAAATTACACCGCCCAAATGAAAAAGATGGAAAGGAAGCATATCAAATGATAGCAGCTGTGTTTGGGTAATGGCATGATGGTAGTTATTTTCTCTTTTTTGCTCATGATTATTTTAATCAGTTTCCAATTTTATAAATTGGAAAACCAATTAAAAATATCCAAATTAAAAAGCCAACATTTAAAGCCAGAAAGAATGAAGTAGGGGGACTTTAAAGTTGGCTGTTTTGCACAGAGCTTCATGAGGGATTTCACATGGGACAAAATGGCAGTTATTGCAGTTTGCAGAGGATATGCATTTATTCTGAGAGTTGTTGGGCTGGTTGGAAAGACAGTGTAATAATAGCAACAAAAACTAGACCCTCCCACCCCCAGCTGCCAGTAATTCAGGCTAGGGCTTCAAGAAGCAATTTCGGCCCATTCAAAGTGCAGCCCATCCCCGGAGACTACCTCCTGCGGACCATTGTGATGGTGATGGCGGGGATGTGGGCCGGCCTCCGCACCAGCTCCCAGAGGATCTGGCGTTTGATGGGAGGGCCTGGGCAGCTGTCTGGGCTTGGGGTTGCTGGTCATCAGAGGCAAGGCAGCATGTGCAATGTTGACCTGGAGGTGAACAGTCCCCTTTCTCAGACCCACTCCCCAGAGGCAACAGTCCCTCATTAGGCTACAGTTTCTAATCCAAACAACCATTAATCTTTCCCAGGGTTAAAAGGCCAGGAAAGCAAGTTTTGCTATTTTGATACTGTACTTGTCTGTATTTTACAAGAGCAGACTTCCCTCACTGACCAGTGGAAAATACCCCACAGCTGTGTCCACAGCTATGCAAAAATGCCAAGCCCAACATAGCCCTCCTGGTGCACAGAGAAGTGACAGGAGCACAAAACAAGCTGTTTATTGTGGCACTTGACAAAAATCATAAACGTGATGTACCTTAAACAAATTAATATTCTGGATCATAAGTTAGGGATGCATATATATTTTAAGTGAAAAAAATTCTACTAAATATGATAGTTTTGTGAAAATGCTGTTATACAAAGTTTTGAGTACTATTCTTTTAGTTTTTCTTGCCTTAGCAAGTAAATTAATGTGTATAAATGGAGCCATAACCCCTGAGAACTTTTTGGTCTTTTAAAGGTAATCAATAAAAAACAGAATTTGACTTAGAAAAATGCACTTGTTATCTCAGAAACAGTGTTTACACTGTTGTTACAGAAATGGGCGGTATTTCTTATCTAACACTTTTAATAGCTGGTAAGAAACACATCTTTTCCATATTCTCAAGTTATAGGGACCAACATGATGGGTATTAAGATAAAAAACACGAAGCCTTCCTAAATCTGTTTCTTCATGCTTGACCTTTAAATCCTTCCTTTACAGAGTCATCATCAGTATGACTACCAAACACTCCTCCTGGTGAGTCACAGACATCTGCCTACTGGTAGTAAAGGCATCGAACATTTCAGAGAGAGAATACATTTTTATGTCTCAAATTATTTTACATCGAATTTCCCAAGCTCAAATCACACATTAAGGACTAAGTAATACATAAAATCGAGTCATAACATTATCAAAATGGAAGAGGCCTCAGTCAAATAGAGTAAAACTCAAGACTGACCAAGGGACTAGAGTGGAACCCATGGCCTTTGACCTCTAACGCTGTTCTAATGATGCTACATCACCTTGTTGAATATAAACCTTCTAGAACTTACCTGGGCTTTTTTGGGAAGGTGTGTTGATGGGGAGAACATATGTTTTTGCTGTGCCAAATGTATTTTAAGACATTAACAACTTTTACTAAAGTTTCCTGCAGGATCTCAGATTGGCAGAGAGTTAGCTGTACTCTGCCTCAATCCCACAGCTTCTGCTTTCAAGATCCAGGATATTTTGAAACGCTGGAGGGAATTTTAACTATTTATGGTCTGCAAGTTATAACTGAAATTCTTTTTTAAAATTTTTTAAAAATTAATTAATTTATTTATTTTACATAACTGAAATTCTATTGGTACTGTCCTATGCTTGCCTTTTGGGCACTTGATATAAATAATTTGAATATTCTATAGGAATTAAAACTATATCTTAATGATATCATTTCTAAGTCAAAAATATGCATATAATATATATAATAAAAAACATAAACCAAATTTTTAATACTGCCTATCTTCTGGATGGTACAATATGATGATTTTCTTTTGTGTTTATCTTTGTATTACCAGGTTTTGGTACTGAGCATATTTTATGTTGATAGAGAAACCTCTATAAACATTACTTCAATGTTATTTAAAAGATCTCAAGGAAGTATAAAGACCTTTATGCAGATAAAGTAGGCCTGGGCAGGTTGAAGGCAAGTAATGTACTTCTCTTCCGTTTTTAAAACCCTGATGTAATTATATATACATTACTTATTTGATTAAAATTTTAATTCGGTTTAAAACATGGATAAATCCACAAGTACACTGAGATCCAGACTGCCAAAGCTTAAGCAGGCAAAAAACCTTAGTGTGGTAACCTTTATGAGGAGAAATGAGTGGTAGAAGTTTCTGCAGCTTGGGAATAACAGATGCAAATGATCATGCTACTTAGATTCTACTTGCAAGGCTGCAAGTCTATCAACTACAACACCGCTTGCTTTTGAATTCATTTATTCTGACCACAAAATACATTTTTCCAAGGAGGGAATTATCATGTAGATGTTAGTGTTTTTCTCAAAAGAATAATTTATTTACATGAGGATCAGTCTCTAATATTTTACCTCTTTGGATCTGTTTTAATCTTTAAATATTAGTTACTAGTATTTTTATAAATTAAGATGAATTTGACCTAAAATAAACAAAATTATATTTTTCTCTGTTCTCTGGCCCTTTCATTTTATTTTAGTGGCCCTCTTAAAATTAGAAAGAATGTGCTTGTTGTAACACATCCAAACAATACGGATGTTTATAAAATAAAAAGGGAGGTATAAAATATAAAGTGATTATTTTCTCTTGATTCTCAATGCCCCAAATTCCATTTCTCCAGTGATAACTTTTAATATTGTTATGTATCCTTCTTTTCTCTCAATAAATAGACATAAATTTATAATTTAAAAAGTAAAAATCAGACCATGCAAATATACAATTGTTCTGCTTTTTTCCAAGTTAGCAGTATATCATGGGTATATTTCCAATAGATTTATTTATTTATTTATTTATTTATTTATTTATTTATTAGATTTTATTTATTTGTTCATAGAGACACACACAGAGAGAGAAAGAGACACAGGCAGAGGGAGAAGCAGGCCCCATGCAGGGAGCCCAGCACAGGACTTGATCCCTAGACTCCAGGACCATGCCCTGGGCCAAAGGCAGGCACAAAACCGCTGAACCACCCAGGGATCCCCCAATTTTTTTTTTAAATTAGAAAAAGTGTTACTAGAAACATCCTTGCCATATTTCTTGACACACTTGTGCTAGTATTTCTATAGGATAAATTTCTAGACTAGGGTTACTGGGCATAGGATATGTGCGTTTATGTTTTTGATAGATACTGAATTTTTGCCCATTTGATAAATAGAGCAGTGGCAATCTGTGGGGTTTGGTGCAGGAACACGGATCCCTAAAGTCTAGCCCAAGGTCTAACATAGTGGGCATTTTCCCAGTTGTATAGAAGTAGCTTGACTTTGAACATCAGGGAATCTTCTGCAGGATAAATTTATATCACATCCAAACTGGTAACATGTAAGTTATATGTGAATGAAAAGACTAAGTTCTGGCTAGCTCGGCTTTTGTTGTCAGGACTATGATGGCCAGTGGAATTCTTTCAGTGAGAATGAAAATTAATACAGTTTCATTGAAGCTTCAAACAGAGCAGATAGATCCTCTTCTGACTGAGGGCGTGGTGCAAGCTTGGTCACCCTTTCCTGAAACAGTAAACAAAAGGATTTACCCAGGGCTCTAAAAAGCTAGTTTGTAAAAGCTACTAGGGTATGTAAATCAACTTGGCCATAAGAAACAATGACTTGATAATAATCATATCTTTAAAAATCATATTTCTTGTTTCCTTCATACCAGCTGATCCCCAACTCCGAAGTTCATCAAGTGACACCACTTTCCCACAAAGCTTTCAAGGTCCATTGCCCTTGCCTTTATGTTCTGGAAATAGCCTTCTGCCTAAAGTATAGAACCAAACCCACCTTGGGCAAAACACCTTCAGTGATGACCAAACTACACTGGGCAGCAGCCTCTGCCAGGTGGGTTCTCTGTGCAGAGAGCACTGTCCCAGTGCCTGTGCCTTGTATGTGCTGCCAAGGAAATTAGAACTGGGTTGTCCTTCACTTCAAGGACTGTATATTTTGCAATTTGGACCTAAAGTATATTCAGAAAGACTTCATTAGGTCATAAGTTGACTTCATAGTCAATTTTACAGCCATGGACTACACATGACTCCTTTTTCTTATTAACTAAGGTTTTATTCTACCTTCCCAAGTCAATTCAGTGACTTGCTTAATTTCTCCAATGTTATTGAGTAGAGTCAGCAAAGACAGAAAGCATATACTATTGCTATTTATACCCCCCATCAGTGTCTCCTTAATCCCAGTGGGACAGGAGATTAAAAGATACTATAATGACTACCCTGTGTCCAAATTTCTGGGCTTAAATAAGATCTATGCCAGAGTTTTGGTTCCATTTTCATAGGTCTCTTGGTTTGTTTTTTTATAAGTACTCATCTCCATGAGGGCAGGTCTGTGTTCACTCTTCCTGCCCAGGGCCTACTAGAGTGCTTGACACAGTACATAGGTGCTCAACAGTTATTTGCTGAATTAATGAAAATGGTGTGTGTGGGGTGTGGTATTGGCATCTCAAAATTCACATACTCAAGACAGAACTCTGACTTCTCCTGCCTCTCATTTTTCTCATCTCAGCAATGACAGCCAGTCACTCAGGGAAAAGCCTAGGAGTCCTGTTGATTCCTTTTTCCTGCTCTACAAGTTTAATCCACCAATCAATGTGTCAGATCTACCTCAGAAGTAAATCCAAAATCTGACCACTTTATCACCTCCTGTTCCACCACAACCCGGCTGTCATCCTGACTCCTGCCTCCAAAAGTCTGTTTCTACTTTTGCTCTACTCTCTCCCCCTAGAGGCCATTCTCCATACAGCAGCCAGAGTGATAACTTTTTCACCCCAGAATAAATTTATCTCATAACCTGCTTAATGCTCTCTGAGGACTTTCTACTGCAATGACAAGACCATGGCCACTGATGCCACTCTGTTCTGGCTCTGCTGCTCATCTCAGCTCTGACTCTTCTCCCATCAGTTCGTCTCACTTAAGCCCTACAGTCCCCTCTCTACCATGAAAATGCTCATCTTCACCCTATCTCAGAGCCTTTCCCCTTTGCCCAGAGGGCTTCTTCCAGGTCTTAATGTGGCTGCCTTCACCTCTAGTCAAAACCTCTTGTGACCACCCTTGCTGGTCCCTCCACACTGTCCCATGTGAAATCATGATTTCATCACCCAGGTTTTCCTTCACACCACTAAGCATCATCTAAAATGATTTCATTAGTATTTTATTTATATATTTGATTAGATGTCAATCATCTGTCTTCTCTCACTAGAATGTAAGCTCCATGAGGGAATGAAGAGACTTTATTTTCCTCCTCACGGCATCCCATTCAATGCATAATATATAGTAAGACCTCAGTAAGTATTTGTAAGGTGAAAGAAAGAATGAAAATAGGAAGGGTGTATTAAAAAATTAACTCAGATAGGCCTAAGTGTAAAGATTTAAATGTAAGAGCTAAAACCAAAACTCTTAGAAGAAAACAGAGGAAAATCTCATGATATTAGATTTGGCAATAATTTCTTGGATATGACACCAAAAGCACAGGCAATACAAAAAATGGGTGAATTGGGTTACATCAAAATTTAAAACTTTTATGCATCAAAGGACACTCTCAAGAGAGTTGAAAAGACAGCGCAGGTAGAATGAGAAAAGTTTTTGCAAATTACAGATCTGATAAGGGATTAATAACTAGAATATATAATTACTACAACTCAACAGCAGGAAACCCCAAACAATCAACTTAAAAATAGGCAAAAGAGGGCACCTGGGTGGCTCAGTAGGTTAAGGGTCTGCCTTTGGCTCAGGTCATGATCCACAGTCCTGGGATCGAGCCCCATGCCAGCTCTCTGCTCAGCAGGGAGCCTGCTTCTCCCTATCCCTTTGCCTGCTGCTCCGCCTGCTTGTGCTATCTGTCTGTCTCTCTCACTGCCAAATAAATAAAATTTTAAGAAAAGTTAAGATAAAAAATAGGCAAAAGACTTGAATAGATATTTCTTAAATGAAGATATACAAATAGCCAGTAAGCACAGGCAAAGATGCTCAATATCTTTAGTCATTAGCAAAATGCTATTCAAAACCACAATGAGTTCTCATTTCCCATCCATCAGGATAGCTATCAAAAAAAAAAAGAAGGAAAATAATAAATCTTGATGAAGATGTGGAGAAATTGTAACCCTCGTGCATTGTTGGTGGGAATGTAAAATGGTGCAGCCTCTATGGAAAACAGTTTGGCGGTTCTTCAAAAAGCTAAACAGAGAATTACCCTATGATCCTACAGCTTTATTCCTTGGTATATAACTAAATGAGGTGAAAACAGAGATTAAAACGTATTTGTACAGCAATGTTCACAGTGGCACTGTCTACAATAGCCAGAAGGTGGAAAAGCTCAACTGTCCATCTGTAGATGAATGAATGAGCAACAGGTGGTATATCCATGCAATGGAATATTATTTCAGCCATAAAAAGGAATTAAATTCTGACACATTAAAGATTTATGATAAGTGAAGACATTATGCAGATACAAAAGGACAAATATTGTAGAGTTCCACTTATATGAGGTACCTGAAATAGGCAAATTCATAGAAAGTAGAATAGAAGTTATTAGGGGCTGGGAAAGGGCAATTATTGTTGCCTACTAAACAGAGCTACAATTTGAAATTATTTAAAAGTTCTGGAAATGGATAGTAGTGCTGGTTGCACAACACTAAATGTACTCAGTGGCACTGAATTGTGCACTTAAAAATGGTTAAAATAATATATTTTATGTTAGGTATATTTTACCACGATTAAAAAGATAATTAAAAAACAAGGAAGTATGAATGGACAGATGGGAGAAGGATGGGGACATGCTGATGAGTATGGGTAAGACCAAAGTAAAATGTTATGCTGCAGCAGATCTTCAGAGACTCTAAACAAATTGTGAAAATCCACAGCAAGGCAGAGACCTGTTCATGGTGATGTACATATGTGTCAGTGGAAGGGTCAAGAACTGAAGTTCGGCGTTTGCTGTGGCCGATAATTACTCTCACACTATTCTGCCTATATAACAGGAGAGAATCTTATCTGATGGGTTCAGTGGCCCTTAAAACAATCCTGCTCATCTTTGGCATAGTTCAGTAGTCTCAGAAGTACTTCAGGCCAAGCTGCTTTGAATTTCTCTTCCACATTTCTAATACCCCCTGATAGGTTAAATGAGGATAGGGACATAAAGTTTGTGATATATCCCCACTGATATCATCTATGCCATATAAAAGCTAAACTCTCAGACTTAAGATGTGTTCAGCAATGCACTATCATTTATAGACGTGTAAGACCGAAGGACAACTGATTAACATGGGCACTGAAATAAATCCTGACTACTACTTTTAGCACATTCATAAAATAACAACATTTTGGCTGGCCTGTCTGCCAGGGAGTGGAAGTGCTCATTTTGGTAGACAGCTCTCCTCAGAAATGAAATGTTTTGATTTGAAATGTAAATGTTTTTTTCCAGAGGTTTCAGAAACCCCGCTTGGAAGATTGATTTATTCTTGCCTGCTCGCCTTGCAGCCTGGCTATAGCGGTTGGAAGCCTCCGTACACAGGGCTGCTGTTTGCAGCCATCAGTATGGGATGTGGTGTTTGGTCAAGAATACTGGCCTGGTTGTTCCTTTCAGTGAAAACTGATCCTTCCTTGCTGAACATAAAAGAAGCTTTATCAAATGTCGACTACATAAATAATCTTTCTGGCAATATTCTTTGCTGCAACCAGTCTATCCCTCTCACTACCTTAAATCCTGTAGATACTAATAAGTGAAGATTAGCCTGCTGCATGTGTAAAATTCTGAAGTTGCCATAGCATTCCTGTAAAATGTTCCCTGCTGCCAAAAATACCAAACAAAAAACTCATAGTAGTTCTTCATCTGCAAAACAGACAGGCTGATTTCTAAGATTCCTCCTAAAGTCCTGTGAATCTGCCCTGTCTTCTGCCCTCTCCTATATAGGACACATTGACTCAATTACATGGACTCTAAAATGGAACTAGTGCTAGTTTATTAAAATTAACTAAAATTCTCTCAATCACAAACACATGATTTAAAAAACAGCATTCATGTTGGGGCTGCCTTATGAGTACAACATGAGGAGACCCTGGCCTCCTACTTTACAGACATGACTTGTACTTGAAAGATTCAATTTACCTTGCATCTTTTATGAAACTAAAAAATCAGTTTTCTCTAATTAAGGTCTTGCTATCTGTGACTTCTTAGTGTGATATATGCCCTGAGGCATTTAATATGATACCTAATTAGCTTGCTATTTATTTATTTAAGATTTTATTTATTTATTCATCACACACACACACACACACACACACAGAGGGAGAAGCAGGCTCCATGCAGGGAACCCGATGTGGGACCTGATCCCGGGTCTTCAGGACTGCATCCTGGGCCGAATGCGGCGCTAAACTGCTGAGCCACCTGGGTTGCCCTAACTTGCTATTTTAGTGGGTAGTCTCAAATGTTAGTATGGATCTGTTGCTATTTGGAACAGTTTCTGAAAGTAGAAGACTGAGCACAGTAGAATTTAAACAGTACACACTTGCCACTGTGTGCTGATGGCTGGAAGATGCTTGTAATTAAATGGCCAAGAATATCACACAGTTTCATCTGAAAATCATGGATACCATCGCTGGAGGTTGACAAACACACATTCCTGAACAAGTAGACCTTTTCAGAATTCCATTTGCAGGAGTGGCACTGTCACTGGAACCATGCTATAAGAGCCAACCACCATGTCAAAACTGTAGAGACCATTTGGTCTTTGGTATCACTGGACAGGCTTTCATGGCTTCTTGTCATTAGGTGAATCCTATTTAGTGTAAGGAAACTTCTGAAAAAGTTACTACCATTCAGCCATTAAGCTCACCTGCCCTGAAGACTTAGGAGAGATGGTACAGGTATGTGTTCCTTTAACATCTCTACTAGCCTGTGCTAGGTGCAGTAGAGGAAGGATGAGCAAAACAGGTCCTGTACTCCTGGAACTTATGGTCTAGTAGGTTTGGATAAAATAACTGTGTTGGTTGAATTTTTTTTGGCTATTGAGTCCCTTGGGCTTGTTGATTAGCATTAAGGGTTTATGAGTTATCCTAGCTATACTTTGAGATGTTTCTTTTTCTTATTCACTTATATTTGTAGATATGACTGAGGCTACTGGGCCTGAGTCTAAGTCAGGGAAATTGCTGGCCAATTGGTCATGTTTAGTTTGTACAGCGGGTAATCAGGGAATACAATACAAACATCCAGATTGTTTTTTTTTTTTTAAGTTGGAAGCTCTACCAATGTTGGGACCTGAACTTCTGCTTGGGGATAATAAATTGTAGCTGAAAAGACACTCACCCAATGAGGTGAATTATGAGCTTTCCAGTTCATCAAAATCCCCACCACTCACTGCTGCTTTAAATTACTTTGTTTATTGCTATTACCTACCTACCTCCTGAGGACATATGAGTCCGCTAACCCAATCCATACACATATCATCTTATGTGAGAGGTGAGGTCTTCAACATTCTAAGCAGCTGCTAAGTGGGGAAGAAGCTAGTGTGAGGCCTTTGTTTAACCAGAATGGGTTGAGGAAAAGCACTGCTACTTGTGGTAAGCAGGAATCAGTGTGGTGTGGATATTCCAGCTGTTAACTCTGTTTCAAAGTCAGTGAGAGATCCATGTCTGCCTTCATTTTGGGTAGAAGTGCCTTGCCCTCGAGTCCTTATAGTGTTTAAGTAACCCACGTCTTCCCCATTTTAGACAGGGGGACTAAGTGAATACTCTGGGCATGGTGAGCATGGTATGGTCCCCAAACCAAGAACTCATGACTCTGGCTCTGTTTTATGGTGAATTGCAGTGAACTATTAGGATCCTATTAGGATCTGATGCTATAGCACATGGGTATCTGATCCAAAATGTAAGAGCGGTCCAATGGGAGGGTAAATTCTCTTCAGGAGAAACTTGGAGGGGAAACTCTACATCTCTTATGATTCCACTCAATAAAGGTTGGCAGCTCAGTTTAAATTCTTTAGCAACATTTAAATAAGACTCAAAGTGACACAGATGATACATCTACGTATATGTATAAAATATGCACTCTCCCAGATTCATTAAGAAGTGATTTTGTAATAGTACTGATTTAAAGCCATGCCCATTTTTTACAAAGTAGTAGGAATTTATAACTCTTTATGATATAAAATAATATCAGTGGTCTTTTTGGAAGAGCTTCACATAGTTTTATAGAGGACTCTTAAAAGAGCAGAAGTGGTAAAAAGGGAAATTTTGCCATACCTCAAGAAAAATGTGGTTTTTTTCACCTTGAATTTTTATAAGAGATCCTTTCAGTTACACCATAAAAGCTCCCAAAAGCCACAGTTTTATGGAAGAATATAAAGATGAGGGAGACTGGCCCCTTCCCTCAGAGGAAGACAAACGCTGCTATCTGGTGTGGAGGAGACCTGAAAGCTGCTGGAGGACCCCTAGGTTTTCCTCTCCCCAAGACACCCCAAATGGACCAAGCTTTGTGCTTCTCAGAAGGGAGAGAGGACGCACTGCATCTCTTACCTGGGGCAGAGTTCCCTTCACTAATGCTGGGATATCAGCCTTGGAGTAACCAATGGCAGCTAGGCCATCATCAACATCCAGATCGAATAAGAATTTCCGGAGTGTGTCTGCCAAAATAGGCCCAGCTTCTGGGATCCTGGCAGTGCGGGTGTCAGCTCCTAGAAGACACAAAGTGCTGACTGTAGAGAGAGTCTGTATAATTCAGTCACAAGACAGGTGAATATATAGCCTACCGCTGGTTCCCTACCACCAAGGACAAGGCCACCGCTGTGCCACCACATGGAGGCCAGCCCAGTGATCGACTCCGCAGTTCACAGATGGGCCAGGCTGGCCTGCAGAACCCCAAGATCCTCTGCAGAGAGAAGTTGGCTGGTGGGCGGGGGGCTAACTTGGCTCTCACATTTCCAATGGGCTGCTTGCCCCTGGTGTGGTGGGAAGAAGAGGAACTAAGCCAAGAAAAGAAGCACAGGGAGGAGACCAAAAAAGAAGGCTGGTGTTTGGATGAAGAGGAAGGAGTGTTTGTAGGAGAAAACACAGCTTATATAACTTTCAAGGCTTGGAATTTGCTGACATCTAGAGGTATAGGTGTTCGATGTCTTTCCTCACAGCAACGTCTTAGGAAAAGAAGACCAACCCTCTGCAACACCTTGTGAGGCAAGGACATATAGAAGTACAAAAGCTCCAGCACTGACTGCCCAAACAGAGAAAAGTGACAAAAGTGGATTATGTGGCCAGGGAAGGAAATATTTCCTCTCTATAACTATAAAACTTTTTATTTGGGGCTCTGTTGCCAAGGGGCAGGGTGGGTTCCTCTAAATAAACATTACAGAACCAGTCAGACAGAACTAAGAACATAAAGACTCTCAGAAAACAGTATTTCCTACGTAGGTAATAATGATGTTGGTGAAGGGGGAAGAAGATCGCCAAGGGTTGGAAATTTTTAAGGGCAAAATTGGGACATGATTAAAAATTAATACTTGAAATCACAGAGACAGTCTGGAAGAGCTAGGGGTTCTGTCCTCAGGCAGAGTAGCAGTGACAGTTCCCAGAACCTTAGCACTCCAGCCCCACATCCATTTTAGTCAAACACATTCACTGCCAGGAAGTGAAGCACTCGACAGACAGATGTGGCATTAGTTATTATCCAGAATGCTTCACGTTGAGTCTAAGTCTGCTTTCTCTGTATTGTTCAAAATGAGACTAGAATGTATAGTTTACTTCCATACTGAAGCACACTATTAGTTTTAACCTTTTTCTTCTACGACAGCAAGAACTGTTTTAGTAATCCAGGAAAATGTATAAATAGAACCAGATATGGGGCTAGTTGGGAGAGAGGGTGGATGGAAGGTAAACCGTGCATGACAAGACCAGTCTGTATTACACAGCGGCAGCTGAAATATGGATTAGGTGGAAAGGTGACACACGATACAAGGTTTATGAAGTTTTTATGTTCCTGGGATTACTGCCATAAAACACACCATCAAAGCCTCTGTGTTTTCCTGTGAAGTGTTTTAGAAAAAAAGGGAGGATAGGGAAGAGAATAAATTGGTATAAAGCTAAGAAAATCTAAGATTACATAGGAAATTGAAATATTTAATGGCTAAATATGGAATAACAACAACACTTCCTATGCAAGGAGGGTTCTTCTACTCTGAGTTTTGTCTATCAGAGGAGTTGCTTTCTCAGTGATGTTGTTGATTGCCTGGAATTTTAACTTTGAGTTCTCTAAGACTTTCCCACTTACCATACATCTAGCCTACTATTTGGGCTCCTTCCTACTTACACTGTATATTTACAAGGTATCTATCCGAGTCCCCAAAATGGCTGAAAAACACCCCCACCTAAAAGGCGAAGGAACACAAGGTCCTTGGTAAGGTTCGCACCGTATTTCCAGCAGCCCAGGCTGGAAAATGAAACCCCTGCACTGCTTTTCTACCCTGCATGTCTCTAATTAGGATTCCCAGCACAGCACAGCACCTGGAACTCTGCGAAAGCACAAAACGTCAGTGTGAGAGAGAAGGGAGTCAAAGAAGTGTACGTAGAAGGAGTCTGTGGTCATGCCTACCTTCCTGGAAATAACCTCTCCAACGGCTGGAGCTAGAAGAGCATAATGAAGTTTTCTTTTTTGCTTTTCCCTTCCTACCCTAAACACAAGTAGGGGAATAAAATGTTTGGAAAGTTAATCAAATACTCAAAGTCTACTTAAAAGAGTTCTCGTCATAGAAAAATTACTGAAAAATTTTACTAGCCTGAATATAATTTTATTTCTTGTGAGATTCAAAGAGCACTGTAGGTGTCTTGTTATAAGACACTGTTTATTCTACAGAGTAGCCAACCAAATTCTTCTTTTGGGATCTTTTTAATAAAGTTTCTAGTTGTTTAGATTTTCTATTACTGGGAATGCACAGTTACTTCCTGAATTAGATTCATTTTATCACCTTGATAGCAAAAACCATTCGCAACATTAACACTATGTAAAGAGTTTCATGTTCTTTGGGGATGAAAAGAAGAGAAATATTATCACTACAAATTTAACATCAGCAATATTTGGTTTCATTTTATTGTTAATGGACTATTGGAAGCAAAATTACAGAATTTTAATGATAGGTAGGACTTTAGGCAGGTGACTCGCATTTTATTATTAAACTATTTCAAAGCAACTTTGTGGGTATTATTATCCTTTATGGTTTATCTTCAGAAGCAACCCTATGAAATGCTCCACACATGCGGGTCACAGATTTATGAGTATTGGTTCATACCCAATATTTCTGCTGTTTCCAGGTGCCGTTCAGGACACATCTGTGCTGTGAAGGTGAACACCGCTGGGGAGGTGAGTACCACAGAAAGGCCATGAGGCTGAAAAGAAACAAAATATGGTGACCAATGGTGTAAAGTTGGGTCTTCAACCTGCATATTCTAGGTATTAAATTACTTTACCCTATACTCCAAGCAATCAAGAATTGACAAATATATTTGATAAATACATTTATGGCAACTGCAAAGATATGAAATTTAATTAAAGAATTTATTATGATTTTACCACCAGTGGGTGATCCACATTATAATCCTTTGCTTTATATGTCTTCACTAAGCCTGAAATTGGGTAAGACATTCCATGGCTAGAAAAGAAAGAAAGTCCTTATGTTGACATATAGATATCAGAAATTCAAGTTAGCAAAACAAAGATAGTTTTATGGGAGAGTCCTTAACAGTCTTTTGACAATATAATTATCTCACAAAGGGAGTTATACATTCTGTTTTCTTTGATACAACAATATATTATTATGCATTGGACATTTTGAGTAATCATTAACAAAACCTTTGAAATGTTCAAATTCAAATGCTTATAGGATTGTATGTCATTAAAAAGTGTTGCAGAAATTGCTTCACAAACACATTGATAACCTGATGATCTTGAAGAAATCAAGGATTTACTTTGAAATTTCTTTAATAAGCTTCAGGGCATGTGTTTTCTATTTTGCTCTGCACTTGCCTTGGCAGTGTGCTCTTCCTATACAAGCTGACAATGTGGGTGTGTTATGAGCCAAGATGTGCTGCATTAGAATGCAAGCTGGACCCTCCAGTCATCTGTCCCATCAATAACTGATACATCCTTTCAAATGTTACATACTAATAGAGTTGAATCATAATTGGTTATTGTAGTTTGAAAGGTTGGTGAGAAAAGGCACCATAGTTTTTATTTGTGGGATTCTTTTAATTTGTTTTTGAAAAAAACTTTTTTTATGTTCTCTTGAATTCTTAGTGAACAAACAGGACTATATTATAGTTTATTAGTCATACCCAGAGATATATATTGTGAGAAGCTTATATATTTATTATTAAGATCTTGAAAATGAAATGCTTTACAATAGTATAATGGTCTATAAATCTTTTAATATGGATTATGTGGGCTTATTCAGCAAATGACTTACATTTTATAGGAAGACAAAGTATTCTGGGGAACTGCATGATTATTTATTTAAAAAAGGTATCCCTTGCCTACCAAATTTTGTGAGATGAAGCAGAAGCTACTGGTTCTCTGAAATGCTGGGTACTTAGGAAAGTGCTTTACCTTTCTTGGGTTTCACAGTATTTGGGAAATCATTGCTTAGTGTGTTTTCATGATGCGAAAGGGTTCATGTAGCTTTCAAAAGTAACTTTCTAATGATATCTTACAACTTAGTTTGATTTCTTTTAAGAGTTGTATATGTTCTTTGTAAAAATTAGAATGGTCCATAATCCTATTTCTTAAAGATAATCATTATAGGATATTTCTTCTAGTCTTTTGATGCATACATTTATGATTGTATATACATAGTTTCAAACATTGCTTTTGCTATTTAATATTCTTTATAAACATTTTCCCATATCATTTCCTATTCTTCTAAAACATTTCTTTCAATAGCCTTATTTTATTCTCTGAGTACTGCGATTCAGTTAACCATTCCCAAACTGTTGGAAATTTAGGATGATTCCAAATTTTCAATTATACATACAACTTAGGTGAATATTCTTAGAAAGAAATACTTTGATCAAATGATGGTGATTTCTTTAGGCTACATTCATAGAACTAAAATTAGTGGGCCCAAGGATATAAATAGTTTTCAAGCTCTGGATAGATTTTGTTCACTTGCTTTTAATTTATTTATTCATTTATTTTTTAAAGGATTTATTTATTTGAGAAAGAGAAAGAGAGAGAGAATATGAGTGGGAGGGACAAAGGGAGAAGAAGAAAGAATATCAAGTGGACTCCATGCTGAGACCAGAGCCCAATGCAGGGCTCAATCCCACAACCAGGAGATCACAACCTGAACTTAAACCAAAAGTTGGTGCTTAACCAGCCATGCCACCCAGGCACCCCATTCACTTGCTTTTTAGAATGGTGGTATCAATCTGTGCTCTCAGCAGCCAAGTTTGGGGGTGACTTCACTGTACTCTCCATAGCAAAAGCCTATTCTTTAATTCTCAGTGATCACTGGTATTCAATTTTAAAACATCATACCAGTAAAGTTCTGATCAAACAAATCAATTCTGGGCTACTGACAAAGATTTTGATCCCTTTCTTTTTGTGAGATTAGGATAAAAATTCTTATATTTGAGGTTTCAAAAATCTATGACACATGGGGAGGATGTGGAAAAGTCAGAACCCTTAGCTTAGCCACTGTTAATGTAAATGTAAAATGGTATAGCTGCTGTGGATAACAATAGTAGTTCCCCAAAATTTAAACATAGAGTTACCATTTCACTCCTACTGAGTATTCCTCAAAAAAGCTTGTACACAAATCCTGCTCCAGGGAGGAAGCCTAAGACTGCTAAGAACGACAAACCACTCCTTGCTTGCTTTTCACGATTTTGCCTGGAGTAAGGGTTCCTGTTATGAAGTAAGAGTATTGGCTACCCTAATAGCCAACAAGTGGAAACAAACCAATGTCCATCTTCTGATAAACGGATAAATAAAATGTGGTATATCCATACAGTAGAATGTTACTTGGCAATAAAAAAGAATGACATATTGATGTGTGTATGAATGAACCATGAAAACATTATGCTAAATTAAAGGCACAAATGACCACATATTATAATAATCCCATTTACATAAAATATCCAGAGTAAATCTCCAGAGATAGAAAGTAGATTAGAGATTTATAAAGAACTTATTAAACTCAACAGCAAAGAAACAATCCAATCATGAAATGGGCAAAAGACACAAACAGAAATTTCACCAAAGAAGACACAGACATGGCCAACAAGCATATGAGAAAATGCTCCACATCACTTGCCAACAGGGAAATACAAATCAAAACAATGAGATACCACCTCACGCCAGTGAGAATGGTGAAAATTAACAAGACAGGGAACAACAAATGTTGGAGAGGATGTGGAGAAAAGGGAACCCTCTTGCACTGTTGGTGGGAATGTGAACTGGTACAGCCACTCTGGAAAACTGTGTCGAGGTTCCTCAAAGAGTTAAAAATAGAACTACCCCACAACCCAGCAATTGCACTGCTGGGGATTTACCCCAAAGATACAGATGCAGTGAAATGGCAGGACACCTGCAGCCCAATGTTTATTATTATTATTATTATTATTATTATTATTATTTTCAGCCCAATGTTAATAGCAGCAATGTCCACAGTAGCCAAACTGTGGAAGGAGCCTCGGTGTCCATTGAAAGACAAATGGATAAAAAAGATGTGGTCTATATGTACAATGGAATATTACTCAGCCATTAGAAACGACAAATACCCACCATTTGCTTCAACATGGATAGAACTGGAGGGTATTATGCTGAGTGAAGTAAGTTAATTGGAGAAGGACAAACATTACATGGTCTCATTCATTTGGGGGAATATAAAAAATAGTGAAAAGGGATAGAGGGGAAAGGAGAGAAAATGAGTGGGAAATATCAGTGAGGGTGACGGAATATGAGAGACTCCTAACTCTGGGAAACGAACAAGGGGTGGTGAAAGGGGAGGTGGGCGGAGGGATGGGGTGACTGGGTGACGGACACGGAGGGGGGCACTTGACGGGATGAGCACTGGGTGTTATGCTATGTGTTGGCAAATCGAATTCCAATAAAAAAATATACAAAAAAATAAACTTAATCTGCTGAGGGTTTTCACCATGAAAAAAAAACAGAAAAGAAAGTAGATTAGTAAGTTGCTTAAGACTGGGGGTTATAGGAGGATTGATGGGTAACAGTGAAGGGGTATGGATTTCTTCTCAGGTCAATCAAATGTTTGAAAATGGATTGTGGTAATGGCTATACAAATCTATGAATATGCTAAAACCCACTGAATTATACATTTTAAATGGATAAATTTTATACTATGTGAATTGTATCTCAATAAGCCTGTTACCAAAAAAAATCTATGAGGGTGCCTGGCTGGCTCAGTCGGTAGAGCATGTGACTCTTGGTCTCAGGGTCATGAGTCTGAACCCCACGTTAGGGGTAGAGTTTATTTAAAAAAAACAACTTAAAAACAAATCTATGACCCAATAAATTACATTTGAATTAAGAAAATATTCCAGGACCCTAAGTTAAATTTCTTCTTATGGCATATTTAGATTTTACTACTTGTCCTAAGTTATAAACATTTTAAAAATGCTAATGCTTTTTTAAATAAAAGCAATAGCTTAGGTGAAGAAATAAAATCTCAAATTGCTCACCACAGATGAACGCCAGCATTTCCAAAGCCAATGCCAGCAAAAGCACTTGCCAAGTGCATATTAGACCTTGCTTCAAGATCATCAGGATTTCTGACAGCCCTGTGGATGATATGAATACTTACATCAACATTGGCATTTCCTACTGAATAAAAAGCTGCCTTAGGGAAAGATCTGGGAAAAAAGAAATTCTACTCGGTAGAAAGAAAAATTAGGCAACTTATTCAAATGACATCTTGTCTTCTAAACGAAAACCAAAGGGAAACATATTTTCTCATCAATGGTTTTGGGCAAAGGCATAATAAATATGCTGTCAGGCTGCTCATGTGATAAAAGTGCCAGCGGAAGCAAAGCACTGACCCTTGGATTATGAGCTACTCTAGAAAAGTGCCCTGAGACTCATTCTTCTTCTTCATTTGTCAATGATCTTGACGGCAGCTGTGAATGGACTTCAAGTAAACATATACTCAGAATGCACAGAGCCCAGACTGGTTCTCTGAAATGAGTCCTGGTCACCTGGGGCTGCCTGTAGGCTAATCGCAGCCTGCCCTGCTGTTTTTCTTTCTGTGACACTGCCCCAAACAGAACCCTTTGGAGGCCTCTTTTAGTATCTGTGGAAATTACATGTTATTTTAATATTTATCATTATGGAAGTGGGATGTTATTGTAGGACAAGGCTTTGCCTGCTGTAGATGTCCCAATGCGACTTTGGAAAAGCAAATTCTCAAAGGCCCCTTGCAGATACAGCTCAACCATCCTGCACACACTTGCTTAGAAAACCTGCTCCAGGGAGGAAGCCTGACTGCCAAGAACGACAAACCACTCCTTGCTTGCTTTTCACGATTTTGCCTGGAGTAAGGGTTCCTGTTATGAAGTAAGAGTGCTACAGCCTTTTATCTCCTTTCATTTGGAATGGTTAGGCATCTGTGGCTCCTTTCCAAACCCAGTGCTAGTTTCTTATTCCCTGAATAACAAGATGAAAGAGAGCAGATGATGAGGCTTTAGCCTTCCCTGTTCTTTTTACCCACTCACCCTTCACTGTGCTCTGCCAAGCCTTCTGTCCTTGTCATGCACACTGGCTGACCATTATCTGGATCTGCATCTACCCAGTCAAATGCTACCCTGCTCCCTGATGGCTTCCAGAAACAGTTCTGTGTTCCTTTCCCCTGCTCTTACTATAAAATGTGGTCTGTGTTCCCTCTCTAGTACAGCTTCCAGCTCGGGGCCAGAGGAAACACTGCATTCACATCCAGGTCCAATCTGATGTGTTCTTTCCCTCCATTACATGTTAAGTATAAAAGTGAGTCTGACTTTGCATAGGTCTTAATGTCTCAGGGATTGGCTTTCATCTCTAAGTATAGCTCTTAGATATACTAAGTATATTTCTAAGTATATCTCTGCTCTCTTAGGAGCCAGTCATGACTACATCATTCATAAATCTTTTGAAAGCTTTTAGAAAGCTTTTTATATCTCCTAACTCTATACATGTATCTCTTAAATTTAGTTCATGTTAGTTTGCTTACTTGGTTGACTCTGTGTGCCTTTGGACAGGGCCTGCATGAGCACAGCCAACATCTGCCTCTCTGGGTCCCATTTCAGCTCTTGGGGTAGCCAAATCTCAAAGGACATCTCCCCTCACCTGAGCTCTCATTTCGAGGCTTTGATGAATAATCCTTCTATATGCAACTTTCAGAAATCAGGGGCTCATATTTTGTTCCTTTGCCTTTGCCTGAAGGATTCAGGTTTCATCTGTCCTCCTGTGCGTCCCTCCCCATCCTTTTCATCTTTCTAGAGCTTGCTAGACTCTGGTGCTCCTCTACATCCAGTGGTTGATCTTTTGCTGAACAGACTTGCTCAGGATATTTCCGGATCTAGCATGCTACATTTTATGTGAGGGTGGAATGTGGTTTTTCTGTTTTCTTTTTTTTTTTTTAAGACTTTATTTTTAAGTAATCTCAACACCAAATATGGGGCTCGTACTTACAACCCTGAGATCAAGATTTGTAAACTTTACTGACTGAGCCTGCGAGGTGCCCCTTCTGTTCTGTTTCTGTCTCCTCTGGGCCACATACCTCTTTAGATACTTAGCGACGATCCGTAGTGCGTGGACTGCCCAAATATCGCTGATCGGGTTGCTGCCCTGATATGCTGGCCGAGTGATAGGATTTGAAGGGCAAGGGCTCCGCATGTGGTAGGGGAGGGCAGTGTAGGATTCCAAGGCATGGCTAACAGGAAATATTTGAAACACATCGATTGAAAGTACCTTTCACTTTTTTGCCCTCCATTCAGATTACAAACTCTTTTGGACATGTTAGGTATTCATTCCATTGCAGATATGCTATGTAGCAGTGATAATCCCAGTACATCCCACCAGGTCAGACTTTGGCCCCCAACAGTCATTGTTTATTATAGAAATTAACACAGTGAAGTTTATACGAACAGCACTACAGTGTTTTTTGACCAGTATGTGTTACTGGATTACATATGGCAGCTTTCTAGTGCAAATAAATCAAATAAATCTCTAGTGCAAATAAAAATTTTTACATATTTGAGTCATGAAGAAAAGCACTGAATCTAAAAAATGATTTCCTTGTAAAATATATTTACCATTTTATACCTTGTACTGATCAAATATCATATTACCTAAGGAAGGCTGTAGTTACATTGTGCCTCCTATTGAGAGTATGGTGCAGGGGGTGAGAACACAGATGCTGGTGTCAGCTGTAAATCTTGCCACAAGACCTTCCTGCTGAGGGCTTGGGGTAAATCACTACCTACCCTGTGACTCTAAAACAAGGCAAATAATAATATGTCTTCCTGGTGCTGCTGTGAAAATTAAATGAGGTGGTACATGTAAAGCACTTAAAATAATAACTTAGAATAGCCTGTTGTAAAACTTACAATTCACCATTATTATTAATTTTTGCCCTGAAAAAAATTCAATTTTTTTTCTGACATGCCTTAAACTAAAGGTTGGCTATTTCAAGAACCAAGTTTCAGAGTTTCCTCCACCTGCTGGCCTGCCATCAATTCTAATAAAGAAAACACATATCCATCTAGATCAATGATGCTTTGGGAGCACACTATAACATGAACTGTTTTGGGCATGATAATTCAGTCTTAAAATGGAGAATTTCTTCTATACATGAGAAGCAGATAACAGCTTTTGAACAAACCATTGAAAAAAATTTTAAGTAAAGTTGGTAGATGGATGCTGTGGCCTTATGGTTCTAAATCTGTGGAATCTGTGCAACAATGCAAGAATGAGGCATCCATGTCAGGAGAATGGGGTGGCAGTGAGTCCACTGAGGTGTAGTCAGACCCCTAACCTGCATGCATCTCAATTCTGAGATCAAGAGCAGATCTGTCTCTCAGGGTCAGACTCCCAGAGTTGAGCTCACAAAAACTGTATGTAGAACCTAGAAGTCTGATTATTGATTTATTGAGATTGATTGATTTATTGATATGATTGAGAAATATAAGGATATGTACAACTGAGGGGCACAGATATCTAAGCCTTTTGATGGCATCTTTTCTCCCTAACATGAGGTCCTATGGATGCCAAATGATGATCAGAAGGCCTATGGAGTCCTAATAGAGGGACCTGCCTATAAGTTGAATACATGGGTGTGTCCAGCTTCAGAACAGGCCACTTGGCCTCAAAGGCAGATTCCTCAGGCTAGGTATTCTCTCCCTCAAACAGTACTCAGAAGGACAACTACCATCAATCTCCTTTTTTCTGGGACCACTCTCCCTTTGATTGACAGTGAAGTCTTTGGGCCTATGAGTCATTCACTTAAAGGTGACTGTTTTGGTTTATTATCTATTTAGTATGTAATTTCCAATCAGAGAGGGTAATCTTATTTCTCTTATTTCCAAGTTATTAGGGGATGACTCTTCAAAGTACTGACAATGTTAACCGGGGTGGAGTTGGATAAAATTTTCTCCGCTTTCTTGGCAAGCAACATAATGTAGTGAAAAAAGCAGACCATGGACTTGGGTAGATCTAGATGTGAATCCTGACTCTGCTACTTTCTGTTTGCATGAATTTTATTTGACAGATATTAACCAAATACCTATGATGTGAGAGTCACTGTGCCAAGGGGCAGGAATGGAGAAGTCAGTAAGATGGTCCTCTCCTCATCAAACTCACAGTGCAGTGAAGGAAATAGACATGAGAAGTGGAAGTGTCCTAGAAAGAATGTATAGGTCACACAATGGGGAAGAGCAAAGAGTGGATTGGTCAGTTGTACTTGAGAGGAGGAAAGGGGGAGAATCAGCAAAGAAGAAGAGTCATCAAGAAGAGAATGATCCAGTGGAACTGGAAGATGAATTCTCCAAACAGATAAAGAGCTAACATTGGGAACATTCCAGGGCCAAAGAGACTTTGCCTTCAGGCATTAGGCATGGAAAACCACTATAAGACTTGTCAGGTAGAGGAGTGTGTATGTTTGTGTGCATGTGTGTATATGTGTGATGATTATATTGCATTCTGAGAGCTTGTTGAGGCCAGTATAGAGGACAGATGGAAGGATTATGGGGTGGAAAGAGAGAGACTGATGTGGAGACTACTGCAATTATGTAAGCAAGAGCTGGGCAGGTATGAAGCAAGGTGGGAATAATGAGGGTCAAGAGGAGGGAGCAGACAGGAGAAATTCAAGCAGGACAAGTGGTAGGAAATACTGGTTATGTATGGGCATGACAAAGAAGTTCATAGTTAAGGGACTCAGGAGAAGCTGTGAGGTGGTAGGGTGGTGGTGGTGGTTAGAGAATGATCAGATTTCATCAAATTTAAGATGCCATGCATTATAAGACACACCATTAAAAAAAAGGTAACACTGAGGAAGAAAACCATACTGTCATACCACAGATTTTAGGATGTGTTCTCAGTTCAGAGATGTTAGAATGTCAAAAAATGAACACATGCAAGTGGATGAAATAGGTAACTGCTCAGTGTGAAGTGTCTGTGGGTCTCTGTGAGGACACTGGAAGGACAGCACTCAGGGATCCATCAGTGCATGCAGCTGAGACCAATGGAGCATGCACTTTGACGCTGGGAAGTTACTAAACATCTCAAAGCCAGGTTTCTTTTTCATATGGCGCAGAGCTGTGGTGAAGCAGTGATGTGTGTAAAGTGCTGCCATGGTGAGCACAGTCCAACTCAGGAGATATTAGCTCCCTTTCCTGCCCTCTTCTATGCTGTGGCATCGCTGGCTATTCCCTGCTTCGTGTAGCCATAGAGGCAGGTGTTGTGGGTCTGCACGCCAGCTCCAACTGCTCCTTTCGCTCTGTCCCTGTGGCAGCAGTTGTGGCTGGCATGGTCTATCCTGAACAGCGGGTCTGTGGCTCACCCAGGAACTCACCTAATCATCAGCCTTTACACATTCCATGTTTTCATCTAGGAAAGCGGATAATGATGGCCAAAGCTGGGGATGTTGTGGAACACTAATCAATGAATGAAAGCAAGTGCTTTCAGCAAGAAAATACTATCCATAGACTGGAAAAGCCCCTCCAGATGACCCCAGTACCTACCAAAGCACATCGAAGCCACTGTTGGCAACCACCCGGTCAGGCATGTGCAGGGTATGCAGAGGATCGATGAGTCCCAGTGTTGGTTTGATGGCTCGCGAAGCAATGCCTAAGACAGGGATTTTCAATAGAGGCTATAGGTATGGACACCATTAAAAAATTAAATTATTTTAGGATTTATTAACGATTATTAATAATTTATTAACAATTTATTAACAATTTATTCTTAAAAATTAAAAATATGAGATGAGATTCATTCTCATGATGGGAGGCAGCAAGAAGAGTGGAAAGAGATCTGGAGTCAGAAATCTAGGTTTTTCAGTGGATATGAAGCTCCTTCTGGTTTGAAAGAGCCAAGTGTGCACATCTCTTCCCAGCTCTGGTTTGAATGATGTCACAAGCTATGGTGGGAGTATCTATACCAAAGAAATTGGCTAATACTACAAATTGGGGCTTATTTACTGATTAAATTCCAGAGAGATGGTTTACTAGCACACTACTGGTTTGGGTCCTGGTTCTGCAACTTTCTATGTATCTTTGCGCAAGTCACTTAGTCTCTCTGAGTTCTCTGTTTAGATTAGATCATAACAATATAGGGCTTCTATCTCTCATAGCTGAAAAAAGGATCATATTAGAAAATATTACATAAAAGTCTCTGAAAAACTATAAGGTAGAACTCAAGTATTGGCTACTATTATCTTTAATAATGTCGAACGATAATGTAGTTTAATTTTAAAAAGAAAAGTTACTATAAATATGCCCTCGAGGGATCCCTGGGTGGCGCAGCGGTTTAGCGCCTGCCTTTGGCCCAGGGCACGATCCTGGAGACCCGGGATCGAATCCCACGTCGGGCTCCTGGTGCATGGAGCCTGCTTCTCCCTCTGCCTGTGTCTCTGCCTCTCTCTCTGTGATGAACATAAATAAATAAATTTAAAAAAAATTAAAAAATATGCTCTCGAATATCAATTTATTCTGCTACAAAGGCCTGGGACCTTTGGATATTTCTGGAATTATGGGAATGCTTAATATTTTGATTGGGGTAGTGGTTACACGGGTGTATCTATTTGTCAAAATTCATCAAACCAACTCTTAAAATGTATGCATTTTATTATATAAAAATTGTATCTCAATGAGACTGATTTAAAGTGTTGAAAAAAAAATGTTGAAAAGATGTCCAGGAAAGGGAATAACCATTCACCCCTGACATACAGCTACTAACTTGGGCAGAGAAATGGCCAATCAAGATTATGGCATTTCAATATGCTTTTGTAGGTAACTGTCTAATAAACTTCAAAGAGAAGTTAAATTCTCTTTGAAGTTTATTAGACAATTTCATATTTTTATATGTATTGAAAAAAAAGTGTGTATGCATACATACCCTTTCCTTAAATCTTTAAGTCTCTGATTTTTAAATATTAGGATTAAAGAAAAGAAGGTGGGGTTGAAAGGTAGGAGAGAGAATTAAACACAATTTTTATAGGCACATTTCTTACCAGTTTTTACTTTCAAGGGTTCATAGTCAAAGATGGCAACTCCTGTAGTTTCACTCCCAGTTCCTGAGGTAGTTGGGACTTGAAAAAAATAATATTTAAATAAAGCATCTAAATAAGGGTCAGTGGAGATATTTAATTCAGCATTAGGAAGCAAGGACCAAAGTTAGAGAAGGAAGCTTTGATGCCCCTATTGCTCACCAGATGTGTGTATCTATATTAATCCACATGTATGCTTCACACGTGTCAGAGTCTGTGTTAACATGCATGCATAATGGTATGCCTGTCAGCATTAACATGCATATTTAATGTGTATATGTGATGGCACTGTCTGCATTAATACACACACATTTCACATGCATGGTGTCCATGTCTGCATGACATGTAGGCATGTCTAACAAATATGTGCACTTTGATGAGTATGTGTGATATCTGCTGTACCTGCATGAACACATATGTATGATGTCAGTGCCTGTGCCAACATGTATATGGGCATGACATGTATGTATGGTGTGTATGTTTAACATGCATGTGTAATGTCTGTTTCTGGGTCAACAGCGAGGAACTCTGGGAACTCTAGCACCAGGACTTAAGCAGCTGCAAGCTGGGCATTCAAACACAGGCTGCTTGGCATCTCGGTTAGAAAACTCGTATTTGCCTTCTCTAAAAGACATCTTTATTCCCTCTTGGCAGCAAGCACAGTAATGTTCTGCCTTCGCTGGGCTCTGTGGTTTTGTAGTTCTGTCAAGTTTCTAAACTTTACTAATCACCCCTCTGTGTGATGCTGACACAGTTTCACCAGAGGGTTCCATTTGCCAGACATCAATTATGTTGGTCCCTGCTGATTTCTCATTCACGTCAAAGCAGTTCATCTGCCTTCAACTTACTCCTATACCATCACAAGGCCCATTCACAGTGGGGGCTTATGGGGGGAGAAGAGAGAGGACAAAACTTTAGACAGATATTGTCCAGTTACCAGTTAGTGCATTTTAACTATAAAACTTTAAACAGTACTATGCTAACAGCCATAAAATAGGAGGGAAGAAAAGACCAAAAGATTCCAAGGTCTGCGTGGACAGACAAGCTATTCTGCTTTGGATTTGCGTATCTGTCCCCAGGGCAGCCAAAGAGCAGATGTTGCCCAGAGTGATGCAGCCATGCTGGCCACATGTCCCAGAGCAGAGACAAAGCCCCAGGTCAGCTGAAGAGCCATTGTGTGGAAGAAAGGGTTGAGTCAACATCAGAAAAATAATAGCCAATGTTCCCCTTATACTCCACAGTGGTTGGCAAAATGGGACAAAGCAGAGAGGGGTTTAGAAGACAAACCTGCCATTAGAGGGATATGATAATACGGGAATGATAACCTTCCCTCCTCCTTCACACAGTGATTTCCTAGCATAAATCTGCAAACTTTCCTACCACTGACCCAAACTGCCTCCCTCTGTGCAATAATGAAAATCAGGATTTTAAACATAAGTGAACTGCAATCTATTCTGCTCTCTCAACAATGTACTATGCTGACATGAAGAAACCAGAAAGCTTCAGAAATGTATACCCTGTAATTTCTTGCTTTCATTTTTCCTAAGGTCTTTTGCCAACTGCAAAATAAGACAGACAAACAACAGTCTTTACCTGCAATCAGAGGCTTAAGAGGCACAGACACAGGCTTTCCTTTCCCAATGGGGGCATTGACATAATCTAGGAAATCAGAGTGAGGGCTGGATGCATACAGATTAGCAGCTTTACAGGTGTCCATGGTGGAGCCACCACCAACAGCAACGTAGGCATCAAAAGCTCTCTTTTTGACAAACTCAATAGCTTCCATGAAACTTGGAGAAGGGAAAATAAAACCCATTATGTCATATTTTTTCAGGAATAAATTGCCACATAATTAAACAAGGCATGGAGCAAGTTTTAGGCAACAGTGATACATGTTGGCTTCTACAGAAAGTAAATAACAACAATAAAATAATACCTTCTATCAGTTGGTTCCACCCTCACATTATTGTAAACCTTAAAATTTATGCCATTCTTCACTAAGGAATCCATAACCATTTGTACAGGAGGGAGTTGGGAGAGGTTCTTGTCTGTCATCAAACAAACATTTTTAGCACCCATGTTTTGTAGGTCCTAAATAACAAAAATAATTTCTAATTAGGTTTAATTGATTGAGAACCGTAACAGACTCTCTCTCTGGCAGACTTAACACTGTATATTTTTAAAAACAAAGGACTCAATTGTTGTCAATTTGCACTTGTTTTAAAAGATATGTAACATTTATAGTGGAAGACTGTGGAAATTTTAAATACTTGCCATTCCTACTTCCTTTGTAACTCCCGCTCCATATCTAATATTTGAAACGGCCATCTGGAAAAAAAAAAAAAGATTTAGGTGAAGGGTGTGTTTCATTTCTAAAAACCTATCAATGAAATGAGTGTTTTTTTTATTGTATAGAGAATAAAGTAGATATTTCTTTGCATGGCCTTCATTTTAATATATGACTCCTGAACTAGGAGGACACAAGAGATTTAAACAAATTATTATACAATTATTATAATATAATATTTTATTATACAATAAAAATAACTTTTTAAAACAGTGTGATAAAAACATAAGAATCCATTGTTCCTTTATCCTTCGTTCAAAAGATTACTTGGACCTCTTTTGGGATTGTTTTAATTGCAAAAATAAAGAAGATGTAACATACAACACATATAAGTTGGAGAATTTGTATAACTGGGAATTTGTCCTATTTTGACGAACAAAAATCAGTATTCTAGCCATTACTCATGTTATCAGAAGATAACCCTAACAAGGTACTTTGCTATATAGAGTGATCAAATAATAAGATTAGGGAACACCAATTAATAGATTTCAAATGAGATAATAATGCATTAGCAAAATAGTATTTTTTCAAGTCATTCATAAAAGAAAGAATGGATTGATTATATCTACCTCAAAGGCATAATCTGTTGTTTTCCCAGAAGGTGGAAATCCAGGAGCTAGGAATATAGAAATTTGTATCAGGGTAAGCCTCAAAAACAAGGGAAAAATATTATTTGGTAGTAAATTGGTATTTCAGCAGTGAACATAAGCATTTCCCTTAAAGAACCTTACCTAAAAAGAAAAGAAAAAGCCTTACCTAAAATATATTTTCCAGTTTCATTGTTGCCTGTCAAATTTTGAAATTAAAACCTATATTTTAAGAGAATGTAGTGCTAACCTGATGCGGATTGTCTGAAAATGAAGCCATTTAAAATATTTTCTTCATTGAAATTGAAGTCTAAAAATCCTCTAGAAAAAACAAACCCTCTAGACTCTGGAGTTGGATTACTGTTGGAGAACAACCATTAGTAAATTCATTAATTAGAATCTTGCTTACAGTTCTTATAACAACTGTGATCAGTTGTTTGCATTAAATTTTTTTCCATCGAGGAAAAAATTATCACAGTAAGATATTTATATTTTTCAAGCTAAAGCCTGCAAAAACTTAGTTTTCTTTGTGAAATTTAATGAAAGTTTGTACAAACGATATTTCTTTGTAATGTATCAGGTTCTAGTTATGGCAAAAATGATTTCCTGTTGTATTGGAACAAGTAGTTCCACTTGCATCACTCCTGGTCAGTCACGAGATTGAAAAAAAAAATCTACAGCAACAATTTCCACTACCATTTTTTTTTTTTTAAAAGAACAAGCGACCACAACTAGACAATAGTCTACTTTTGGCTTTCTAAGGGCAAGGGTATCCTTAATGAAAATTCAAATTTCTTTGATTCTTATCAACTTTAAAGGAATATTCTATTCTTGCTACTGAAGTTTAGGAAAAGACATAAATTGAATCCTAGAAAATAGTGAGATTATCTTCCTTTAAATTATTAATTGTATTCTCCCAAACAGGAGACTACTAATTCTTTGTTGAGATCAACTAAGAATTGGAAAGAACCATCTGAAGACAAAATTCTGCATATGTTCATGAGGACCTAAAAGGCTGAGCATGCTTTCATCTAGTAGACAGTCATTAATGACGGGAGGTCCCTTGGCTTGTCCTAAATGATGAGCCACACCAGTGGCAGGAAAAAGTCTTCAGTCACTCTATCTGCTCTGCTCCCCAACAGGCTTCTCTAGGGTTCTGCTTAGTTTCCTGTACGGGCAGGCCCTCTCGTTTCCATTCTCACTGTGCTGTTTAGATTTGACCTTTCCTTCTAAGGGGTGAAATCAGTTTTTGTGTCAGTAATTCATGTGACATTCTGAGGACACATTGAAGCTACAATGAGCTTCCTGCTGCTCTGCGGACAATGGAGTTGGGAAGGATTAAGACGTTTGTGGGAACTGCAAACTTGTCATTATTTTTAATTACTAAGAAATAGAATGTTATTATTTTTTTTAACTGATACAAGTTTTTTTCTTCTAGGAGCCTCTGGTTTGTTCTTTAGCCATTTTCTTTCCTGAGATGTATCAAAACCTCCCAAAGATTCCATCTTGATTAATTCTGTTTAACTCAGACTACCTTAAAATCATATCTGTGCCACCAATTTTAGCTTTGGAAAATAATTCTATTTGAAATAGAAAAACATAGCATTAAATATATACTTGAGCCAAGCATATAATCAGTAGCATACGTTCAGCTACCATCATATAATTAGAACTACCTATTACCAGTTGCAAGTGAAAAGGCAACCATTTCAACTTTCCTCTCACATCCCTTGATTTATCCTTTGCCCAAGTATTATGAGTGCCAATGGAGGGATTGGAAATTTTGGCCACCTTAAAAACACAAAATGTATTATTACCTTGGGAGTAAGTATGAGAATGAGTTGGGCACTGGCATCTAGGGAAGAGGAAAAAAAAGTTAACCCGGAAAACCAAAAGATAGAAGGCTTTAATGTAATCACATTGCATTCTAGTCTTGAGATGCAATCAAAGCAGTAGCTACTGGCAAACGCTACATGGGAAAACCCAGAAATCATCGTGGACAAAAATCCACTCTGAGTCTTTCCAGTGTCGCAGGGTCATTCTTCCAGGAGTTATTCAATTATTCAGTGCTTGATAAATGCCTGCGGGAAGCTGAGAGAAGCCCTCTGGGGATACAAAGTAGTTTGAGGTGGGGTCTCAGTGCTCCTATGAGGTCCCAGCTCTTTTCCCAGGTTAGGAGCTTTGACCAAAGTGACCCAAGCTTAATTACTCAATGCACCTGCCTACCCCTTCCCCTCCACCCAGGGAACTTGTGTTTTCCCACTGTCTACTAGGTGTTTAATTTTCTTGAGCCTGACCCTGGCCCGGGCCTCCGAGAAGCCCTCGGTGGGCCTGCAGGCCTCGCTGGTGCCCACCTGGGCCCTCCATCCTTTCTCCGCCCGGCCCCGCGCCCCCACCCCGGGCTCCTCCACCTGCTGCTCCCCTCCTCCCTCCCCAGGGGCCTGAAGTGCGCTCACGCCCGTCGCTCTCCGCACCCCCCCCAACCCCTCACCCCTCCGCGGTTCCCAGTCCCTTCTCCACCCTGGGCTCGGTTCCCCGCGCAGTCCCGCTCCCTGCCGTTCGCCGGGCGCTCCAACCTCGCAGCGGGGTTTTAGGTTTCTGTTTCCTGCCAGATGACCTGGTCCCAGAGGGGTCCCCATAGATACGTGAGGCCATAAGTGCCCCGTCCTCCATCTCCCACCCCTCCCCACCCCCCACCCCCCTTCAAATCTGGAGCGAGAACATCTGAGGGGTAGAGTGGAGAAGGAAGCAGAGTGTTGAACTCCAGGGTGGTCGAGACCTCAAAAACCGACCAGGCTAAGCGGACGTGAACGCTACCGCGAGTCGAGGCCGCCACCTGCTGGACACGCCTGAGGACGCCACGTGCGGAGCGTCCCGGGAGCACCCTGGCCGGCCTGAGCCAGTCTCAGGTGGCTGCAGGGAAAACAGCAGGCAAGGCCAAGTCCTTCGCAGGTGGGCTTTCTTTGGAGAATTTTCCCCGCTTTGCACCCTCCAAGGACCAGAAAGCGGAGGCAAAGGGATGAAAACATCCAGTCTCAGAACTTTCCAGTACCTCGGGCTGTGGGAACACAGGCTTTCTACACCCTTCCCCTCTTCTTTTTATTTTATATTTTTAAGGTTCTGAGGCCGCCTCAACTAATCATTTCTACTTCTTACTTGTGGTTTGAATCCCCATCCTCTTTTGCCTCCTTAGTACTTCTATCTGTCCTGTGTTCCCTGGTGTTCCCCCTCACTCAATCTTTGTCATATTTAAGAGTTTGATGCTTCAAAGCCTCAACCTCTTGTCCCCTCTGGCTTGCTCACTCTCTCTGGGTCTCCTCCCCTGGCCTAGGTCTCGTGGCTCTATTTTCTTGCCTCCCACGCATTGCTTGGTCCCCTGAAATCTGGCTGTTGTCTCAGCAAGTCCCAGCTTTCCTGCTGTATCCTTATTCTCAGACCCACCCCCCCACCAAGCACCTTATTCTCCTAGCAATGAACACTGTGGGCCACCCCCTCCTTGGGTGGGTGAAATGCTTTCCTCGTTTTCCAGGACTCCCTACTCTAATTATTCTTTCTCCAGCTCCTTTTCCACTCCACTCATTCCTTAAATGTTGGGTTCTATCCTGGGCTCACCCCTCACCCTTTATAGCAAACCACCTGTCAGGGCCTCCCCTCCCCCCAATATTTCTGTACCCAAATCCATCCACTTCTCTTGGGTCCTCTGCCAATCTCTGGTTTCAGTGTCATCTCTCATCTGGATAATGACAATGTTCCTAACAAGCTTCTTTTGGTTCTGCCATTGCCACACAGTGGTCAGGGGCTTATTTCCAATGATGCTTCGCTTCCCTCTCCCATGGCTCTTTGGATAAAGTTCGGATCTGGCCCTGCCTCACCAGCCCAGCTAATCTCTCTAGCCTGGTCCCTCGTCTCGCTCCATCTCTGGAATTCTGGAAAAATTTTTCTTTTCCTTGAATGGGCTACACATTCTCTTTTGTGCCTCCAGAACTTTATCCTTGTTATTTCCTTTGCCAGAAACACGTTTCCTCCTCTTCTTCTGGGTAATTTGTGTGCTTTCCCCCTGGGCAAGGCTGGAGGCCCCAGGCAGGCACTCTCCCTCTGTGGTCTGTACCATGCCTCCCTCCCCATTAGAACCATTATCACACTGTATTATTGGTATTGTGGTGTGTCTTTTCCTGCCAAGACACAGAACATGAGCTGTGGTAGGGAGAACAGATTGTGGGCTCCCCCACCTTCTTAGGATAGCCGGAAACCACTGATGGGGCTTTTCTACATCTCCTGAGAAGCAGAAGAAACCAGGGTTAGAGCAAGGCTCTCATCTCCCCACCCTCTGGCTCTGGCCTGATGATTCTGGCCTTCCTCCGGGTATCACCGGCCAAGATAAACTGGCCAAGCTTTCAACCAAGGTCAGCCCCTCTCCTGTCCACTAAATCTTAGCCTGCTTCATTTAGCTGACTATACTTGCTCTAATTTCTCTTTTCCCATTCTCTCTGGGACCCCATCCAACTGACCTTTGGGTTATGACTCCACTAACAGCTTACCAGGTCACTAATGCTCTTCACCTTGCTAATAAACCACTCAGTTCTCAGTTCAGTCCTCATCTTGCCCAACCTGTCAGCGGCATCCTATTCACTCCCTTCTCTCTGGAAACTTTCTTCCCTTGCCTTCCAGGCTGCTCCTGGCCTAGTTTCTTTTCATGCTATTTACTCTGAATGCTGGAGAGTCCCAGGGTTCGGCCTGTGGATCCTTCTCTTTTCTTTCCACTCTCACTCCCTGAGTGACCTCACCGTGTCACATGGCCTTCCATGCTGATGGTTTCCACTGCCATCGTTCTGGTTTAGATGTCTTGCTTGAACTTCAGATTCAGTTGCCTACTTGACGTCTCCACTCAATGTCTATTAAGTATTTCATATTTTCCCTGCCGAAGACTCAGCTCCTGGTCTTCCCTTAAAGCCTCTTCCCTACCCCAGTTTAATGGCAACTTCATCCTTCCAGTTGTTTAGGACAAAAAACCTCAGGCTCATCCTTGGCCACCTACCCACCCCCTCCTGCCCGGCCCTCAACATCTCTGACCTCATGTTGCCCTCACTCACTCTGTTCCATTTACCATGTTCTGAAACCATTCTTGTGTTCTCCGCCTTCAAGTACCTTCCCAGAGAGCCACATGGCTCAGTCCTTCCTTCCACTGGTATTCCAGTAACAGTTGCCTTCTCAGTGTGGTTGGCTGAGACCCTGAGGATATTCAGGTCTTAATACCTGGAACCTGCAAACGTTATAAAGCTAAAGGAACTCTATAGATGTGATTAAAGACTTTGAGATGGAAAGATTATCCTGGATTATTTGGGTGGACCAAAAATGTAATCAGCAGCAGCCTTATAAGAGAGAGACGGAAGGAGATTTGACATAAAGAAGGTCGCCGTGACCACTGAAGCAAGTTGCTACATTGCTGGCTGTGACAATGCAGAAAGGAGCTATGATCCATGGTTGCAAAAAAGGGCAGGTCTAGAAGCTGGAAAGAGGAAGGTAACGCCTCTGAATGGAGTGTTGCCTTTTTACACCTTGATTTTGGTCCAGTAAAACGAATTTTGGGAAAAATTGGAGTTAGAGTTTTAGAACTCTAACAGAATAAATGTATGTTGTTTTAAGCTACCAAGTTCATGGTAATTTGTTACAGCAGCAATAACAAACTAATAGGTCTTCTCTGGCTATCTTCTCTAAAATTGCACCCTCTCCTCCAACAACCCATCCTCCTTTACTTTCTTTTTAATACCTATCAACATGTAATATGCTCTACATTTTACTAGCTTATTGTCTACCCCATCTGCCCCACCTTCACACTTAGCACCAGGTATGTTTTGTTTCTTGCTGTACCCCAGGGATGAGAACACTGCAAATCTGCAGTGAATGTGGAGTCCTTCCTTCCTGGCCATGTTCCTGTTCTTTAATACTGGCTCCTTTTCCTGCATTCAGAGTGCAAATCATTTGCAAATCCAAGTGCCTAAGGAGGCTGGTAGATAATGTAAATGAGAGATCAGAGCTGCTGGCAGTCTGTGTAGCTCTTGTGCAGAATGAGTGGTGGGCTGTATGCCAGGGTGTCTCAGGAAGCTGAAATGCTTGCGCTGTTCAAAGAAGGCAGCCACCACTTCACTTCAGCCCCGGCAGACTTTCCAGATGAAATGTGGGCCCAATGATGCCATTTCCCAATTTTCCAATATTTTTATCTGAAATTTCCAACTTTCTAAATGCATAACCTATTAAAAAAATAAGCTCCATTTTGCCATTCCTGCTTTAACACTGCTGCTCTTGGGGACCTCATTCTCTTCTTTGCAGTTTCCAAAGACATTTGCTTCCACACCTAGTTTCAATTGTCCACTATACACGTGGCTGAGTTCCAATTCACTTCTGAGCTCTAGAAAAATATAGTTAATTACCTGTTGATGGTCTTCTTCACCTGGATATACCTGAGACATGTCCAATTTGAAGTTCCTAAGGTAAGTTATCTTCCTCCTAAAGCTAACCCTCTCATAGTCCCTATCTTGGTAACTGGGCCTAATGTTTACCTGAAACCTTACCCAGAAACTCCAACCTTTCTTTCCATCTCACTAATCAGATAGAAAATCTCGATTTTAACGAACTCTTCAATATTTCTCATATCTACACCTTGTACCAGCTGCTTCTCCTTGGTACCTGAAGCCATCATCTTTTAGCTGGAGCATTACAATTACTTCTAGTCTTTCCTCTCCACTGTACACTGCCACCAGAAAGCTCTAACATAATTCTAATCATGCCACCCTCGTCATTCAACCATTCCAAAACCACGTTCTACAGAACACTGGTTCCAAGGGATATGAATGCTGTTGCTAGATAAAAAACTTTATAACACAGATTTAGAACAGAGTTTCTAAAAAGGTTTTTTTTTTTTTTTTTACCTTGTAGGACTTTTCAGAGCCTTTCATGTGCTAATTATCCTGACTCAACAAAAGCACTAGGCCTTTTTTTTTTTTTTTTAAAGCACTAGGCTTTTGAGCAGTTACACATTTATTTAGCTATGGACACATTTAGCTTTTTTTCCACGAGGCATCACAAAGTATTAGTGTTTCACAGTGAGAGCTATTGCTTCCATAGCTTTCCATCATCTATAGGACATAATTCAAATTCTTTAGCATAGGACTAAGAACGGGACTGTAAAGCTAGAATATCTGGGTTCAAATTATGACTGTGTCATTTGCTTAGCTGTGTGACACTGGACAAATTCCTTTTTTTCATGATTTTATTATTTTTTAAAATCTGTAATATGAAGATAATAATACAATATGGCATAGGCTTGTTGTAAGGATTACAGGACATGTAAAGTATGTAGGGCAGTACCTGGCACATAGTAAGTGCCTAATGAGTGCTATATTCTTGTTCAGGGTCTGTCTTCTCCATCCTCACCTCCTATGAAGGTAAGTCTGGATTTAATTACTTTTAGATCCTGGAACTACATCTCTTGCCAACCGTGCTGCTCTCCCCAGTCACCAGAAATTCTTCTCTAGTCCCCCTTCTTTCACCTTATCTCTACTTGGTAGCTCAAAATTTTACATGTTTTCCCAGGCTGACTTGGGCATTCGCACATTCCACAAGTATTTACCAGGTGGCTACTATACACCTTGCATTGCTAGAGGGGGAGTCAGATATGTAATAACGTTTAACACCCTGACTCCTTGCACATGCCAGGGCGGCGAAGCTCCTGGTGATTTCTCACATCTGTCTTTCTCCTCTGCACTCCCTGTCCCCTGCGTTCCCCACAGGCCCATTTCACAAACCCTGTCCCCTCATCCAACTACCTGCTAGACTGCTCCAGAGCCTTTCACCTTTGTATCCCCAGCACCTAGAATAGTTTTTGGCACAAAACATACTCCCAGTACAAATGTGCTGATTGGGTACGTGAATCTGTCTTGCTCACTGCCCTGCAATGGCTGTTACTGCACGGGACAGGCAGGCACCGTCCTCTCCCGGCCTTATTTCCTTAACGGTAGAACAAGCCGGGTACCACCGGCCTCGGTGCTCTGCGCGTGGTTGGGGCACGCCGCTACCACCTGACCCGCCTGACCCACGGCTCCGACGTGGAGCGGGCACGCGCAACGCTCTCCCCTTCCCCAAGGTAGGACACGTGGGGCCCGGGCGGGGCGCACCCAGCGGGGCTGCGCGGGCACGGCGGCATCCTCCGGTCCCCCGCCCGCCCGCCCGCCCGCCGGCCGGCCCCGCACTCACGCTGCTCGCTGCAGCTGCCTCAGCAAGTGCGCGGCCCGGGCGCGGGCGGCCGCAGCCATGGCTGCACAGTCTTCCTTCCCGGAGCCGCCCCTCCGCCCCCGCCGCCGGCCAATCCCGGCGCCGCCCTCCTGCCCCCGCCCACTCGGCCGAGCCTGCCCACCCCCTCTGCTAACTCTCCGGCCCTGGCGGTAGCTTTCTTTGAATCAGGACCATTTTCCCACGAGTCAAAATCTCATCCACCTCTGAAATTGCCGTAAAGGTAACTGCTCTGTAGGATCTTTGGTACTTCCTTAAGTCTCTCTACTTAAAAGCCTTTATTTCACATGTTGGGTATAGGGGAAAGGGAGAGAAACGAGGGCTTTTCCCACTGATTCCTTTAAAATGCTACTTTGCCTTCCTATTTTCTAAATAAGTTATTAAGACATTGCATTTAAGCTGTTTTAATAATAAATAAGGACCTTGCAAAAAGCCCAGGGATTATTTTCTACAGGGCCAGGGCTGTGTCCAACTGCTAAATCAAAAGTCTAAAACAAAACAAAACAAAAAACCCCAGAAAACTCCCAAAACAGTAACAACGAAACACCCTGGGCAGTTGAGAACTTAAAATGTGTTAAGTGCTCTAGAATAGCTTTTGGTGAAGTTAAGGTACCATTAAATGGTTTCATCAGTAGTTACCAACTTTTCATGATCACACTATACCGCTTAGCAGGGCCAAGTGTTCCACCTCACAGTGGGAGAGCTGATCAATGATGGCAAAGTTCAACTTCAACTTAATCACAAAGTATCCTAACATAGTATCAATTTAACATCTGTGTTTATAGTAATATATGTAATTTGAATTAATCTTTTCTTCTATAGCAATTTCTAAAGACATAAAAGTGAGGCAACACTGAAAAAGGACAAAGTGAACTCCCAATTTAAATTTCCTATCAACTATCAGACCAAAAAAACAGAGTAGAGTGGCTCATGAGTCTCCCCTGGATTCTAGATGTACTATGAATTCTTTTCAGTAGGTACTGATTTACTAAGATCAATTAGGGAAAGAGGCCCATAAGAGCTATAAACATTTGACCTCCTAATTAAACCAGTTAAGGTCAGTTTGACAAATGAATAAAAAATAACAGTGTTCCAGTTAAAGATCTGGTGGGTTTATCTTTTCTCAAAATAGATCCTACCTGAAGTTAAAAAAAAAAAATTGGGACATAAATGTTGAAAAGATTTAAGTATTTTCTGGATTAATGAGGATTATTATCATTATTTAGTGAAGCCCAAATTTATAACTTACCATAAATGTTTTCACAGTAATAAAAAGCATAAAATCCTTTTTCAAAGAGACAGCAGTTGTACAGCACTTTCAATATTTCATCTGTTACTTATTAGAAAAACTCTTACTTCTTTTGGTGTCACTGAAATCATCATAAATTACCCGCTTTATATTTTTTAGAAAGCAAATTAAAATAATGTTAATCAGGTATCCCCTGGCTTTACTTAGAATTTCTACCAATAGCCAAAATGTCAAAAGCAACATTAGATACGCACTTTTATTAATTAAATAACTTTCATAAGAGTTACTTGTAAGTTATTTTAAATTGTTATCTTTCTGTCCCCTCCCCCTTGCTTTGATACACTCCTTTATTATAAAAATAATGCAGAAATCGAATGTAAGTCTGAAAAACGACCAACTTTCCCTCGGTTTCCAAAGTCAAAAAGAAAAAAAATATGTCTTTAAAAATAGAACTCATTCCCGGTTTCCACTGAATTCTTTCCTTGATTCTTAGGTCCTCAAATACATCCTTTAATCTCCAGCCAATTCTTGGTTGTGGGAAAAACATTACTTTGTAGAGTCCAGCATTTACATACTATCCTGGGGGGGCGGGAGGAGGGCAGCCTATCCCTTCAACCTCAAGCTCAGTGAAGGCAGCACATCTTTTTCAACATTCCTGACCTCCCAACCCAGTAACTACAACTTAACATTTAGTACAGTTCTTCGTTTACAGACGGGTCCGAGGGTGAAAATTACTTTCTTCTTTTCCCTCCTTGGTGTTGCCCTCCTTTCCTCTTGCCGCCCAAACGAGGCGGCCCAGAGTTCATCTTGCCTCCCAAGCCCCCTTTTCTCTTCCCGGCCTGGCTGGGCGGGGCACCTTTCCTCTGGCCCCCAGGGCCCTGCCGGCCGCCTTTTCTCTTGCCCTTCTGGCTCATTTTCCTCCTCTTTGCAGCCTCCTCTTGGTCCTCTTCCCTCATCTGTTTATTGGTGGCCCTCGTCACGTCCAGCTGAGGTTTTTTGCTGTTCATCACCCGCAGCATCTCCAACTGGCTCTTCTTCTCAGCTGCAAAGTCCCCGAAAAGGGGCTGAAACTTCCTCTTCTTGCCGGAGCTGCGGGGCGCCTTCTCCTTGGGCAAGCGCTCCTGGAAACGCCCCACAGAGGCGGTGGAGACCTTGGCCACCTGCATGGCGCGGCCCAATTCCTCCTTACTCTGGTGTCCCGTAGGGTGCATGCCGGCCGCACTGGGCAGCTGCATCTTGTGCGCGCGAGCCAGGTTACGCAGCCGGTTCAGCTCATTCTTAGCCACGCGTTCCTTCTTGGCTTGGATCCGCTTGGCGAACTGGTCCTCTAAGGGGTCGGCACCGCCGGGCACCTCGATCAACCATTCCTTAGTGTCATCCCGAGCGCGCTGGTAGCCCCAGCGGCGTCGCCATTGGCCACTCACCTCGTCCCACACCAGATTGGTCTTCTTCTTGGGACGGATGCCCTTGAGACGCGCGAACTGCTGCCAGCGTGTAAGCGGCCGCGGCCGGGGCACCGGCTTCTCGCGCGGCAGGCGCGTGGTGGGCTCCGGCAGGCGTGCCACCAGCGCCTCCTCCACGCGCTCCGTGGGCAGCTGCCACAGCTGGTTGATGAGCAGTTGCGTGTTGTCGCGCGCCAGGGCCTGCAGCTCAGCCTCCGGCGAGGGTCCCGCGCGCCGCAGCCCCGCTGGGGGGTTCCGGTCAGAGGCCAGCAGGTTGCCCAGGTCGAACTCCAGCTCCAGCTCCTTGTGCACCGTGATGCGCTGCAGCTTCTCTGCCTCGTCCCGCTCCGCCTTCGCCAGCAGCTCCTCCACGCTCGGGCCCTCCATGGCTCGGCCTCGGCTCACTCGCTCCGGGAGAGCTCTTCAAAGCCCTTCTCTGCCAACGCCGGCTCTCGCCCCGGCAACGCAAGCACGTGCGGCCGCCGAGACGCTCGTTCCGGAAGAGAAAGCTTCGCTTCCGGGGCACCCGGAACAGGCTCCCAGTCCCGGCAACCCGAGGAAAGGCCGGCAGAGAGCGGTGTTGGAGAGCGGATGGGATTCCCGGAGGCCCTTCGGCGGGAGCCCGGAGGTAGGCGGTGCTGGCGCCAGGAGTCGGGACTACATTTCCCAGGGCTAACTGGGGCTGTGGCTCCCAGGATGCAGCGGCGTAAGGGGCGGTGCAAATTTTGGACGTCGAGTTCGAGGGCTCCGCGAGCGACTGCTAACGATTTCAGTGTAAAATCAGTTCACGAGATGGTTTCGCATCTGGGACTAGATAAATCATATTTTACCCGGGCCCAGACCCGTTCATAGGGGGTGGGGGTGGGGGGAGTCCTAGGTGTGGGCCGAGAGACACGTCCCACAACTGCACATAAAGCTAACTGTGGAAGATTTGGTTCGTTTTCCAGGCGAACGGGCACTGGCAATTAGATTGCCCTAAGTGGGCGCGGGGGTGCGCCCAGAGCCCCGGGATCTCTTCCTCTCCAGGCTTGTGGCAAAAGAGCGCTGGGCTCTGCAGTGAGACTGCCCGAGTTCCAACCCTGCTGTTGGACCTTCGGGTATTTGGGCCTATTTTAAAAACCTGTAAGATGTGGTGGTAATAGTACTTAACCTCTTAGGGCTGTTTCAAGGGTAAATGAGTTAATATGTCTCTGAGGGAGCTTGGTATGGAACATAAGAGGGCTCAACAAATGTTAACGAAATACCAATTATTAATCTTTCTAATCGCTCTGGGAGTAGGCTAAAGAGGCAGTGTTATACGGTGATCATACACCCGGTTCTTGGGTCAGATGACCTAGAATCACGTTTTACAGTACCTGCTTTGGACAGATTGTTTAACCCAAGCCCAACTCATGAGTTGAAAATATGAAACATTAGTTCCCGGTATGTTAGCCATTGTTAATCACGGTATTCCACTGATGGCAAAGGAAGGCTCAGAGAAGGAAAATGACTTATCTAAGGTTATACAACTAGGAAACGTGGGAGCAGGAATGATCTTAACTCTGGCTTTAACACGATTGACATATTCTCTGCAATGTCTTCAGGCTCTTGATACATAAAATGTGTGGTCTGTTGCCCAGCAGCCTAGCATCACCTGAGAAGTTGTTGGACTTGCAGAGTCTCTGGCCTCAACCCAGGCGCAATGGTTCAGAACCTTCATTTTAACAAAATCTCTGGCTAATGAGTATGTACACCACGTCTAGGAGGCACAGTGCTGATTGTGTGGCTTACAGGTTTGGTTTTGTTTTTTAATGGGAAGTTAGGAGTTGTAAAGAGGGGGTTATGCTGGAAAATTAGCCCATGGAAATGGACATGATAGCTCTTAGGAAATAGATTGTGTCGAGTTTCAGCTAGAGGGGGCATTAGGCGTAGCCCATCTACCATACCTCCCCCCTGAGTTTGGTTTCTGTAGCTCACTATCTTTCCTCAGCTTCCTTTTGTTCATTCACTCATCATGCATTTAGTGAGCACATTTTGTGCATCAGACAGTATGCTGCAACCTTTTTTCCTCTTTTCTAAAAGTATTTTAGGTGGCAGTTACGAATAGAGCTGCTATAAACAAACAAAAAGTGTTTTAGGATTTGCAGGTTTTTTTCTGCCTTTGTCTTAACACTCAGCACCAAGTCTTTAATACCACTCATATTGTGCGGTCAAGGCCAGGCCAAAGGCCATATTAGGTAACTGCCTTGAACCTAGCCTTGACCCCTAAAAGGTTTTGTGATTTACCTAGGAGAGTGTTACAGACATTGATGTGGCTGTTCTGGACTTGGCTTAGTTTCTGATTCATTCACTCATTCTTTCAACAAACATGTGAATGATTGCCATATTCCAGACACTAGACATGAAGATTATTGAGATTGTGTGGAACAGTAGAGAAGAAAGAAAGGTTAAGAGAAATTTGCACTTGGGCTTTTAATAGGAAGGTCACGTTTGCAGGATTTTAGTTCCTCTGTCAATCTTCAGAGTTTGGGGAGAAAAAGAGCAAATGTCAACAGGTGTCCAAAGAACAAATGTTAACAGGTGTTAAATGGTAAACAGTGAGTTCTCACTGTATGAAATGCTATTTGGTTTGAATTATATATGTCAGCTCTTTTTGAACTCTAATTGTTTTATACTGAATGTTTTTTTCAGTCCAGGTCAGTTTTAATTTCCTTATGATGGGAGACTGATTTTTACTTCCACTTTGCCAATGATAATTCTGGATACATAACAGGTATTCAATACCTGATTGAACAAATAAACCTATTAAATAGACTTTTCTAAATTCAAAAACAGGATTAATGTTGGCTGTTAGATTCATTGTGAACAAAATTATTAAGATTGGGATTTGTGGCTTAAAAAAAATCTTAGTGAGGCAAGTAGGTGAGTGGTGGTCTCCAGCTTGTATTTGTATCATCTTTATGTTAGGCAAGATTTTGCAGTGTCAAGAAAAAGCCTACCAAAGATGTGCAAATATATGTGAATATATTTTAACAATACACGAAATGGTTGTATATCTTTTGTTGTTTTTTTCCCCTTTGTCTTTTCTCTTTGTTGGTTTCTCTTCCTTCTTTTGATGCATAATGCAGACAGATCCCAAGTTTGGTCATCAGACTCTGTTTTTCTCTTTATATTGGGGCCATGAGCTGGCCCCAAATAGCTCTTTATTCCATGGTATGATAGTGCTCCTTACGCTTGTCTTCTCTGCCATTTCATTCACACTTGTCCACATGGTTCTTAGAGGTACATTTTTATTCCTTTCCTTTTCAGAGCTGCAGATTCAAATCTCCAACCACTTGGTGGGCTCTTCCACAATACTCTGAAGTCAGTATGTCTAAGACTACGTTACACATCATCTTCCTGAAAATTTACTCCGTCCATCATCCACCCATCCATCCACATTTTTTTCCTCAACAAGTTTATGGAAGGCCTTTCATACCCAAGGTATTGTGCTGGACATTGGGAATGCAATGATTAGTAAAAACAGTCTTAGTTGATGTTATCATCATTCTAGTTTAGTTACTCAGGCTTGAAACTGATGTCATCCTTGACTTTTCTCAACTCCAAATCCAAATCAGTCTTAAAGTTCTGCTAAATTTGTGTCTGTATTGTATCTCTCTCATTCCCACTATCACTACCTTACCCCTAGACCAATTCTCTTCCATCTACTTCTCCAGATCTTCTCTCTACTCTGCTCTCTGCCCTTGGCTTCCAGCTGGATGTGGCTAGCAGGAAGCAATGACAGAAGCTCAGAGAGTGTAAAGAGTTTAAGGTGAAGGCATGTATGCCCCTCGCCCTCTGCAGATTGCCATGGGTTGACTGGTTCCTCTGAAAGGCTGTAGTTCCAATCAGGTAGTTCCCTCCATTTAGCCATACTCTCTCAGCTCCTCTAAAGTTCTCCTCTGGTTGCTGCAGGCCTACAAGTTGTCATGGCTCTTGTTTTGTGTCACTACTCTCTGTGAGTTTCCTTAAACCATACTCACATCTTGTTGATCTTTCTTAAATTACCCAGCTTGACTGCTGCCTGTTTCCTACCAGGGCCCTGACTGATGCCCAAGGAGCAATTCTGGGAGCATCCTTACAGTCCCTTCCTTACGTTACCTCTTCAGGTCAGTCCAGAGGATCTTATTGATCTGGCAAAATCACTCTTCTCATAAATTCTCTTCTCTGCCTAACAAAATAATGGTTATTCTTGGTCTTGGATGGCCATGAGCTGGCTCCAAATAGCTCTTTATTCCATGGTATGATAGTGCTCCTTATGCTTGTTTTCTAAATATCTCTTCCTCATTCCTATTTTTCTATCTTAGTTACCTTTCTAGAGTCTTAAGAACGTTCCTCAAGAAAGGCAAAAATGAGGCATAGGACAGAACAGTCAACAATTATATTTTTTTAGAAACTATTGAGAAGTATTTCAATAAGAAAAGTGAACTAATAGAGATTTTTTTTTTCTCCCCAGTCAGGGGCAAGAAGGTTAAAGGTGTGAAAGTAATACCTTTACGTTCCCTTAAAACATAACTACTTTGTTCAGTAAAACATATTTGTAAGTATTTCCCCCCCCCCTTTTTTTTTTTGATGCTGCATTAACTTAGATTTACTTTCTGAATGTTTCTCAATTGCCCCTTTCTGGTAGCGGAAATCGTTAGGGATGATTCAATCTTTAATCCTGCTGTGAACATAGTTATTTTGAGCATTTTTGTCTAGGAAGTTCAATGTGCTAGTAATTTGATAAAATAGCAGAAAAGGGCCCTTAAAATGCTTACGTTATTTCCACATGGTTCATTTTTACTGATTTATAATTTTAATTTGGAAGTACCTGAAGGGAAGATTTAATTTTGAAAATTTCTTAATCATAGACAAAATCTGTGCATTCATATGCTTCAGTTTTGGTCAGAAACCCATTGTTTCGTTTTACAAATGAACATAGAAGTTATATTATTAAGATTTTGTGTAGTTAGTATAAAAGCAGATAGAATAACTACCTAACATTATACATTTGCCTAGAGGGGACTTTGTATTTGAGGATAGTAAAAATGCTGGTAGCATTTTAAAATTGACTTAAGTTGATTTGCTATCTGTAAAATACACAGTGGTTTCTGTTTTTCAAAAATGGGCATATACAGTTTGCTAAGAAAATTGCATTTCCCAAAATCTTATCACCACCTGTAAGATACGAGCACCACTGGCTGATGGTTTTCCTTCATAAGATGTCTTCAGTAAATCCCAAGGGAATGAGATTGGTGTTAGGCTTTAAATTTTACCTTTGTAAGATGTTCAATAAAAAGAATGAAAGATTGATTTAAAAAGGAAAACTGAAGTTTCAGAATCTTAGGGATATTTGCACTCAAAGAATCCAGTAACAAAATTTAGATCCATTTATTTAAAAAGCCATTTTTTATTATATTTTAATTTATGAAAGTAAAATTGCAATGAGCAAGAAATCTTTTTGTGTTTTTCTTGATTAATAGAGTGA